GGTGAAGAGGTAGAACGGAAGGACGTGCCACCATTCCAATTCGAGGCGTGACGTCATCAGTTTGATCAACTGAAGATTTTAGATCGAAAAAGAAATTTATATGTGAGCTTCTTAAGGGAAGTTCGAAAAGGAACAGTTTCAGAAAAGAAGGATGTTAATAGGAGCTTCAGAGTGGCCCCTATAGAGGCCCTTGGAGGGTCCACCACATTACCAACTATTATAAGGGCCACTAAAGCTTGCAAAAGCGGTCCCCATAGGGACATTTTAGTCGATAAATATTATAAACTCTGAGCGAAGAAGCATTTTCATGGAAAAAAAAAACTGAATAAATAGGAGTTTTTTTTTTTTGATGCATAGGGGCCACTTGAGGTTTTAGGCGCTAAGGGGTCAGACCCTAAACCCCTATAGGGACCAGTTTTTCGGCGCCTAGAGGGGTTTTTAGAGCTTCAAATCATCCCAAAGAAAAACTGAACCTTGTCCTCGCCGAGGAGAATTCTCGACAGGAAGGCCAAGTTGTCGTTGTTGGAGAAATCCCGATTTTTGAGACAGGCTCTGACGGACTCCTGCCACGCTTCTAGCTTGTTGTCCTGTCAGTTCTCATTTTATAACCCGTTTTTCCAAGATCTTTGAAATTACATGAATAAATCTATATCGCCAATCTGATCAATGACCCGTTCAAAAAAACCTTAAAATAGAAGCTTGACCTCATCATTCACTTGGAACCTTTGAAAAAAATTTATGTTCTGAAAAAATAGCAATTTGACCTCTATGATTTTCTTCAATGCTCAATTTCATCATAAAACTAGCTTTATTGTTAAAAATCTGCATAACTTTTGAAAATTGCAAAAAAATATGGTACATCAATAATTATGACGCACAGTGTACTCCAAGATACCTTCAACTTTTCCCCGATCGAATCGCAATTCCAGGGCGCCAGGAGATCAATGAACATTTCGATGGGCTTCTGATTGCCGGAAATCAGGATCAGAAGCTCGGAACAGATATCGAAGCGGCAGCAGATCAATGATAGAGCGACCTGCAGAATTCGGGTTGAAAATCATAAAACAAGCCAAAAAATGAGTTGAAAAACAAATAGACTTCCTTGAAATCTACAGAAAGAAACAAAAGAAAAAAATAATGAAACTAGTTTTTTTCAATTTCATCAACTATCAATTCTGATTTTGAAATATTTTTCAAATATATGCCAAAATTCTCTACACTTCGAGTTTTTTTGTGTCAAAGACCATCAGCATTCTTGGCCGGAAGAGAGATGAGAAGAAAAAAATCCAAAAATAGATCAGTTGGACGATCAAAGAGAAGACGAAATTAGAAACTGTAGAAGACATGAAAAAAACATTGTGTTTTCAAATCATCAGTATTCTAATGGAATACATGGAAAACGCTAAAAATTCCCGTACGGCTTGCCAGAATTTGCCGTTAACGAGCTCGACGCCGTCCTCCAGCTCGCAGATCGCCTCGTCGGCCATTTTTTGGACGAAAATGAAGCTCTCACGGGCCCAGGTCATCAGATCAGCGCAGACGTTTCCGTCTGAGCTTTTTCTTGATTTTGAGAAAAATAGATAAAAGATTAATCAAACGTAGTCCAAAGGAGTTCTCTAAAAACTAGGAAATTTATCTTTCTTTTTTTAAAAAAATTTGCTCAAAAATTCTCATAAGGTTAAGGATAACATTTTTTTAAATTTCAAATTTTTGGAAATACCATCTCAAAATCTGTGTTTGAGGACCTAAACCAATGAATGACGACTTTCAAAATTCACTTTTCTAAAAATTAAAATTTTCGTAATATTACGACCTTCAAAGAAACTTTGAGAGACAATTCAAAAAAATTTTTAAATTTTTCCTTGTAACCCAAAAAAAGGGGCTTTTTGGTTTGTCGGGCATAATTTTTGGCTATAAATATTTGAAATAAAACTTCAAATAACGCTTTTTTTCTTTTTACATTCCGGATAGTTTGCGAACTTTGAAGCGTCATATTTCGTAAAAAAATATCTATTGCAGCAAATTTTTCTGGTTTTGAAATCTAAAAAAATTAAGAACTTTATTCTATACCTTCCGATAATTTTTAGATAAAATTTGAAAAACTTCAAATCACAAGGCAAAATGACCTTCATGCTAGAGATTTTTTTGGACCGAATTTGAATTATCAAACTATACACAAAAAATCAAGCATTTTTTCGACCAATAATTCACCTCCACGTTTCAAGTATATTGCTTCGTAGAACGACCAGAGTTCGAAATCGCGAGCATAATGTTCGGATCGACTACTGATCGCCGCGTTGAGCAACACCGACCGGTATCTTCTCGAAATCTCCAGGGTTCTGAAAAAAATTCATTAGAAAAATTAATAATAAATGAAGATAATTCTCAAAAAACTTTCGTTAGTGCTTTTCAAATGAAACATCTTTGCAAAAAGCTAAAAAACAAAAGAAAAAAAATCAAAAAAAAGTCTGGGTGACAACTTTCAGCACACAATATACGTTAGAATATTGTAAATCCTCTGCTTTTCGCGAAAAAATTATTCGGGAATTGATTATTGTCGGTTTTAAATAGTAATGGTTGGCTAACTGTTGGAAAAATATGTAAGTTCCAATTATTTTTAAAAAAATTCCGCCTAAAACTTTGAATTTTTTTCTTTTTAAAAAAGAAAAAAATAAACTTTAAGAAAACCAAGTTTACTTATTTATTTCTCCATCACGGGCAAAGGCCAAAGGGTCTCAAGAAGGACTTTAAAAAAATAAAACGTCTAAAAAAACCTTAAAGGGATCTTTTTTTGAAAAGGACCTTTTAAGGAGGAAGAAAAAGAAGGAGGCGGAAAGAAAGTGGAAGAAAAAACCTTTTTAGGAACTCGATAAGGAGCTTTTCTGTTCTCTTCTTTTTGAGACCTTTTGGACTTTGCCTGGGATATTTTTTATTATTGACTCTTTCCATAAGAGGTCTTATTGTTCTTAGGAGAGGCTTTAACCATTGAAAAGGGAATAAACTGATAGAATTACAAGGCAAGATTGAAAAGCGTACGAATCGGCTGAAAGTTGCCGTCCCGACGGGGCATTTTCCCGAGAGCGGACGAAAACGGCGTGCATTTCGATGACCAGCCTTCTGACTATCGGGTTACTGTACATCAGGCGCTGGGTCGACGGCTTTTCAATCACCATCGTTGTTCCATCCCCTGTTCATATTCAGTTATTCCGGATTTTATCAACTTTTGGCGCTCATCCATTGTCAAATCTTGTTGAATTCTTCTCAAAGTCCAAATTTTTACACCTTGATTAGTTCAAATGCAATCACCACGGTTGTTTCTTTTTGTCAATATTCTATCATTTTAAATTTCCCCATTGGTTGTCAAATCCAAGTTTTCACAAATCTAAATCCTTTTTAAACTAAAAAAACGTCAACTTTTTTTCTTGTTCCAATGTAGGAAAAAATGCACTTGTTTCTATGGAGGAAAAAACTTTAAAAAATTTATAATGCAAGCCAAAACTGATTAGTTTATGTGCAATATAACTTTTTGAGAATTGAAAAAAACTTGAAAGAAAAAAACGTGAAATTTTTTTAATTATAGATCGAATATGTTTTGGTAGAACGATATTGGACTTTTGAAATCGAACCTTTATGGGTATCTTTCCTTTTCTTGTCTTCATATGCCAAAACTGTTGAGAACTCGCCGACGGCCACTGCGTAACTCGTTTCCGGACGAGATGTTGATGATCTCATTCTGAAACTCACATTAAACTTATTCGTAAAAAAGAAAAAAGTGAAACACGAAAAGCGCATGAAAGTTTCATTTATACATGAAATTTCAAAAAGATTAAAATTACATGAACAAAATCAACTATAAAAAATAAATAATGAAATACCCAATACTTCTTTACGAAAAAAAGCAACTTGGGATTGCGAACTTTTTGCAAAAAAGAACTGTTTACACTGTTAATATTTAAAAGTATTTTTAAAAAATGAAGTTCAAAAAAACCGCACTTTCTTCCTTCTGTTTTTTTCAATTTTTGAAAAGGTTATTGAAAAAAACCAGCTATAATATAATAGAATACAACGTTTTCTCACTCAGAAGAAAAAGATTCCAAGCGTTTTAACCACAAAAAACAACAAAAAACGAACATTTCTGAAAATCCGAGATCGGAATTTTCGAATTATCCGTAGAGCGCACCTGCTCATTATTTCAAACTTTTTCTATCACTTTTTCTCGAATCGTTTACTTTTAAAAAAACATATAATTTTTCACTTATAAAAAAACATTAAAAACATTTTCAAGATTTCAAAAATCATAACTTTTTCGAGCTTTCTCCGTAGAGCGAAACTAATGAGATTCTTCAGCCTTTAAAAACGACTATTCAAAGTTTCAACAATTATTTTTTTACACCCAGTTTTACGGACGAGGTCGCAGCGAGAGAAACGCTATATCGCGGGGGAGCCGCGAGCTATATCGCTCGCCTCTCGGCGCAAGGTCGCTCACATCTCGCTGCTATGCCGCTCTTTCAAAAAAATTTTTTAGCTCGATTGGGCTTTTTTTTCTGATTTGCTTTCTATGCTTCATACTTTTATTGGGTTGTTCATGATAACATATCGGTCTTTATCAACCTTATTTACTTTTTATTTAATATAAACAATATATTTAAATGAAAACTTGAGAGCATTAAAGAAATTTTCCAAATAATTGATGATACATTTTCGAATTCGAAGTAAACGGAAAGTATGTACAAATCTGAAAAAGAAAAAAAAATCGAATTGAGGCGAAAGAGTGAAGCTTCAAGTAAGAATAAAAAGGGACAATATGACGAAAAACATGTGTATCGTTTATTTTTCATAGGAAAAAAAATGTGACTAGGAAAAGAGTAGTTTCAATAAAAACAGAAAAGTAAACCGATTGTAAGCTCGTAGATGATCTTTTAAAAAGTTCAAATTAGAAAAATAAAGGAGGGAGGCTCGAAATGAAAATGAAAGAAGTTTTGAAAAAAAGAAAAATTAAGTTAAACAATCAGATTGACACTAAGTTCCCTTTAAAAAAATGTTACTGTAAGCTTTTGACTCGATAGTTTTTCGGCATATCCTTCATTTGCTGCGTCAAGAACTTTTCTAAATGATAAAAATCGGTTAAAAAAAGAGAAATACTGAAAAAAAGTCCAACCTTGAATAAGAGAATAACTCACAGGAGCGACTGTATCAAGACAGCAGTACGTGCTTTCTCGAAATCATGCCTCATTTCTTCTTTTTCCTTACCCATCGACGCCAAAGTGCAAATCATATCTTCAAGTAAAAAAATGGATATACTGTTTCAAAAAAATAGTTTACCAAGAATCTTATTGATTGTATCCAAAAGCAAAGTTTCGGTGCCATCTCCCACGGATCTTTCTTGACTTTTATTGATCGAAAAAAAAAATGTTAGATGCCATTTTGAAGTACTAATAACCTGAAATTCTTGGTTAAAACATGAAAAAAAAATGCGAAAAAAGGACTTTCAAATTCAAGAAAGGTGTGCAGTTCCGTCAAAATATATACAAAAAAGCTTTTTCTTTATCACAACTTTCTTTAATGGGATTTCACCCTTTTGAAACTTTCTGGAAATATGATGACTGTTGATTGTAACAACGTGGTGAAAACTTAGAAACACAGCTGAAAAAGTTTCAGAAAGATTGAGCTCAAGAGCTCTATACGAGGAAGTTGTGAGCGAAAAATATTTTTCCTTTCCTGACGGTACTGTATGAGCGTTACATTAGTTGTAAAATTAACATTTTAGAAATATTAAGTGAAAAAAATAGACATAAAAAAATCAGAGAGAATATAACACACGAAAAAAATAAAACAATTCAAGTAAAATTTTGATGGCACGTAAATAGTGACCAATCGATAATCCGCGACCTCGCGCCGATATCGCGCCGGGAGTTTGCTAGAGCTGAGCGAGATGGCAGCGAGATATGTCGCTGCTATGTCGCGCCACTCTCGCTGCGATATAGTCCACGAAACTGGGTGTATGCAAATTGCTCTAAAAAAATCTTTAAATCTTCCTTTTTCGCGGATTTCTTCACATTTTTTTATAAAAAAAGTATAACGAGAATCGCGAGATCATCATTCCTTCGAACAAACTTCAAAAAAATTCTTGAATTCTTTATCGAATCAAACACCGGTTAGTATTGTCATACACTAGGTTGAGAAAAAAAAACCACAGGGCTGCAAAAATGAGCAAAAACTGGGCACAGAAAATATACAGAGACGTTCAGAAAAAAAGGAGATGTGAAGGATTTGTTAGGGCACAGGGGGACATCAGGCACAGTGAGATGTTTCTTTGGGAGAAAAATGAACGACAACTGTTCGAAAAAGATATTTACAATGGTAAGAAGGCATTTCTCAATCGAAACTAACAGTGAGAACTAATATATAGAGCGGATTTGTACAAGAAAAATTGGTTAAACCATAGAAATAAGGTGAAATTATCAGAAAAAAATCGTCGTTTTGGCTTCTCGCCAACTGGAGCCGCCAACAGCTCCGGATTCTTCACCATGACCCGTGAGATCTGCAAAAATGTTATTAAAGGGACATGGCTGCCTTAAGATAAATTATCAAAGTTTATCAAAATTCCTGCTTTTTGAATGATCTATTTTCGGACTTTCTTTCAAAAAAACTCAAACAGCATCAAAAAAACATTTTTTTAATGGTCTCGAGACGAGATATTGAACTTATGCGCCTTTAATAATAAAAATTTCAAGGAGATTACAACTGGAGATATAAACGTCCGAAAAATTCCAAAGCGACGTTTTTCATGATCATACAAAACCCAGCTAAACACTTCTCAAATAGTCTCGAGACGAAAAAGTATCCTCTGCGCCTTTAATAAGCGTTAGAGTTCATTGGAAGACTTAGTTATCGACTTAAAACTAACAAAAGTATGAATGAATTGCGCTATAAAGCTAGAATCTCAAAACAAAAAATGCCAAAAAAATCTCAACATGATCATTTTTTCTTATGCACCTTTAATAAGCGTTCTAAGCTTCTATAGATGGAAAAAAATCATGCGCCAATGAAGCCAAGGCTCACAACTCTGAACTGTATTTCCTCAGTCATTTCGAAAAATTCGAATCCAAAAAATGTGAAAAAAAAAATCTCGACACGATCATTCTCCTGCGCCTTTAATAAGCTTTCTAAGCTTCTGAGCTTCGAAAAAAATTTTTCCTTAGAAAAAAGTTCCAAGGTCGTAAATTCCGAACTGTATACCCTCTAGACCATTTCCACAGGGTTTCTTACGAAAAACCCATATTTCTCCAAGAATCCAAGAAAAAGTGTATTTCCTCCTTTCTTGGGTCTAGTAAGCTCGTAGAAGTCCCCTCTAATCTCTAAGTTAAATCGACTTATTCCAAGCCGAAACTCACCAAATTGTCCATATACTCCTGCATGTCCTTCATCCGGGAATCCTTGACCTGCAGCTCCAGCTTGAAGCTGTCGATGACCGCCAGAAGGTCCTGGCCGTTCGAGGCGTCGAGCTGCTTCTGCTGGAACTGAATTCGGGAGTAGTCGAAGAGGATTCCGAAGGAACCTGATGTTTGGAGGATTCGAATCCGGAAGAAGCGATGCTTCTGATGCTTCCACCCCGTTGTAAAGATCCGGCTAGGGAAGCCCAAAGTCGGAAAAATGATTATTATTCTCAGCGGCTAATAATTACCGATGGAGAAATGATCCCAGCGGCCAGGCTAGAGCGGGCCGAAGGGGCAGGCGGAATGACACTGGACTTCCTTTCCTGGGGAGCGTAGCCAATGACTGGCGACCTAGCCGGAGACTCGTCGAATGGATTGTACCCACTGTGAAAATACTTTTATAACTGCCGAGATAAAAGCGATGTCGCTTGCGGTATCGCGAAAGTGTACAGCCGCGACGGTCTTGTTTTTTGGCGCGATCTCGAATTTTGAAGTTTTTGAGTTTGAGAGAAACGCGATGTCGCGAGCAATATCGCCTTCCTCTCCCGTCCGATTAGGCAGCTTTCTTAGCTTCTGAAACTTAAAAGTAAAAGTTCCAACCTGTGATTATCGATCGAGTTCTCCGGATTGGCGATTCTAGATGAGCCGTTGAGACAAGACTCGTACATGGCGTTGGAGCTGCCGGTCCGGTCAAGATGGGGCGAAGAAAGTCCTGGGGCGGCGAGGAAAGTCCCCGGCGGCAGGGTTGTGGATCTGGCAATAATTCGGAGTGGAGTAAGTAAATTTGAAGACAATAAAAATGCGAAATTGGTTTTTGGAGCTTGAGCATCAAACTATATCTGAAAAACTCCCATATTTGACCTGAAAGTCTTTTTTCTTTATTTTTTCTTAATCGATTTTTCAGAGAAGAAACTCTTAATTTGAAGCAGAAATCCGGTGATTTCTCACAAAACGCGAGTCTAATGAGACGTCCGCAACGTCGCGTGCACGGCTACTGTAAACAGTTGTCCGTAGGCCGATCCAAAGCTTTTTTCAAAATTAAAGGCGGGAAAGTAAAGTCGCGTTTTTCTTCTAAAGTTGTCACACCTGTAATTTTTTTGAGTACACCATTCGATTCGCAATGAAAAACTGTATAAGATACTGCTTTCACCTAAAACCCCATTTTTTTTTACTGCCCCTATGCCTTTAAAGTTACCTAGCCAAATCCCTTGACCTTTACATTATACAATCTGCGCGATATCGCAAAAGAGTCGCGTTTATTTTTCAACCTTTTCACGACTATTTTCAGAGCTAAAACTTCTCGCGATATCGCAAAAAACTCGCAAGTAACACATTTTTTCTAGCCTAATCTCCTACAAACTTATGGTTTTTACCCTTCACACGACTATCTCAGAGCTCAAACTTCACACGATATCGCAAAAAACTCGCAAGTAACACATTTTTTCTAGCCTAATATCCTATCAACTTACGGTTTTACCCTTCATATTTTCAGAGATCAAACTTCACGCGATATCGCAAAAATCCCGCACGTATGACATTTTTTTAAGCTTAATCTCCTATTATCTAATGGATTTTACTATCCACATGGCTATTTTCAGAGCTCAAACTTCCCACGATATCGCAGAAAACTCGCACGTAACAAATTTTTTTTTCTAACCCACACAGTGTTCCCAAACGAGCGGCAGCTGTGGTCAGTAGGCGTGGCTGACTGCAATAGCGGCACGGTTTATTGCAATAGGTGCGCGGGGATGAGAGTCAAGTTTTGTGGATTTAGTGGTTGGAAAAAGACCATTAAATGATGTTTTTCCTAGGTTCTCGCAAGTTTTCAAAAGATTTTAAATGTGTATATAATTATTACGAACAAATTTAAATGAAGAAATAGACGAAAAAAAGTTTTTTTGCATATCTCCCAAAAATGTCGTTTTTAGGAAAAACTCGTCAAATCGAACTTCCAAAGGGAAAAATTGAGAAAAAAAGCTCACAGCACTTCTCTTAAGAAATACCATTTGAACGTTTTAAAACAAAAAAACAGACACATAATAGCTTGTACGAATAAAGTTGTCACCCAAAATGACATTTTCAAGAATAAAGTCGTCGAATACTGCCTCGAAAAAATTTTTGAGAAAAAAATCTCACAGCGTTTCTCTTAAGAAATTCCATTTGAAAGTTTTAAAACAAAAACAAACGAAACATCTTATGCGAAATAAGTTGTCATCAAAGGACCTAGAGAAGGCTCTGAGTCACCTCCAACGTCGTGATCGGCACCCGGGGGCGGACGTGACTTATTCCTTGACTTTAGGTGACTTCAATGCAAAAGTTGGCAGTAAGATCGACACCGAATCCTCTCTCGGTTGCCATGGCGTTGGAGTCCGTAATAACCGTGGGGAAACTCTTTTAGAGTTCTGCGAGGCGAATGGGCTGAGGATCTGGAACACCTTCTTCAAAAAGCGGGTTAACAGAAAGTGGTCCTGGAAATCTCCTGATGGCATCACACACAATTCAATAGACTACGTCCTCGCGGACCGTCGTTGCCCGATTTACGACGTCGATGTCATTGCCAATTTCCAGTATAACACCGACCACCGCCTCATACGAGCAAAAATGAAGCTGAGCTAACGTCACGTGAATAAACGCGCAACCTCTAAGCGTGTTTTTCACAAATCTCTCTTCGCGTATGCCGTCGAACAAATATCCAACGAACACAGACCGCATACGTATGAAAGATTGAGAAACGTTATGAGCAGAGCTTCAAAAATTGCAACGACCTACGAACCGATCCCTCGCCGGCTCTCCACGAAGACTCAAGGGCTCTTCAAGAAACGTCGTCTCCGAAAACCAACACGCCTTCTGGTCGACTCGAGTTCTGCTTAACTAACAAAGCACTCCGCATCTCGATGAAGGATGACATTGAAAGAAGACGTCACTCGAAGATTGACAATGCCATTGAAAAACATCGAAGCGTTCGAAAGGTTATGAAAGAAAGCCAAGTCTGTTCAACCGCTCTGACGCAACTTCAACGAGAACATGGAACCATCGCTGCGTCAAAACAAGATGTCACGGAAACTGTTCAGAAGTTTCAAATCTCTACACCTCGTTGGACAGTTCTCCAGCCCTGATCTTACCATCTCAAGAGGACTTCCCTCCGATACTGGATGAAGAAGTTCGTGCGGCCTTGAAGAAAGCTAAAAAGAACAAGGCTCCTGGGCCGGATATGATCACTCTGGAGATGCTTCTCGCATGTGAAGATATCGTCGTTCCACACCTAGTGACGATGTTCAACGAAAGCCTCACGAATGAAAGAGCTCCACAATCTATGCCGGACTCTGTCGTGCGACTGCTCCACAAGAAGGGAAACTGCCTGGACATAGGAAACTACCGACCAGTAGCACTATTGTCCGTCGTGTAAATTGTTCACCTCGATACTTCGAAGAAGAGCTACGCGTGAACTAGAGGCTGCTCAACCCATCGAGCAAACTGGTTTCCGATCCGGATTCTCGACATCGGAAAACACCCTGGTCGTGACCGAGATGATCCAGAAGTCTCAGGAATACAAGTTCCCTTTGTACCTGATGTTCGTCGACTACAAGAAAGCCTTCGATTCTGTGGAGTTCGGCTCTCTCTGGACGACTCTCAGCGAGTTTGGAGTCCATTCGAAGATCGTTATGACTCTGAAAAACATCTACGAAGAAGCAGAAGTCTCTGTCAGAATTCGAGGACAAGATGTACCAGTTCGAATACAGAAAGGAGTGCGTCAAGGGGACACAATTTCCCCAGACTTGTTCAACGCCACCCTCGAGCACATTTTTCGAAGGCTTAACTGGGAGAGCTATGGATTTTCTGTGAACGGAACGACTTTGACGCACCTTCGTTTTGCGGATGACGTCGTACTGTTTGCATCCAGTGCGCAGAAGATCCAAGAAATGGCTAACGAGCTGGCAAAAGAGAGCAAGAAGGCCGGCTTGGAAATCAACTTCGCGAAAACGTTCATAATGGCTAATCGAGCCCAAAGAAATGTCGAGATTGATGGGAAAAGAATCGCCTACACGGATGAGTTCATCTACCTCGGTACCCTTCTCCACTTCGCTGATGGCTCGAAAACCGAAATCCAACGCCGAATTCGTTCTGCATGGAGCGTCTTCCACAAGTTCAAAACGTACTTAACACGAAGAAACGTTTCCAATATACACAAAGCCAAGATATACAACAAGTGTATTGAACCAGCTTTCCTCTATGGTTTGGAAACTTGGACTCTGAAGAAGAAAGAAAGGAACCTTCTGGCAACGGCACAGCGGAAAATGATGCGATGGATGCTCGGATTGCTCGACAGAAGAAGAAACTCCTGGCTCTATGAAAAGTTGAAGCTACGCGAAGTTCGGTCGGAAGCTGTGAAGAGAAAAATGGCTTTTTAGCAAAGAAGATCGCTACAGGGAGAAGACACATGGGCGAAGAAAATCGTGGAATGGCGACCATGGGCGAAAACGCGTGGAGTTGGACGACCCAAACCCCGTTGGCGAGATGACCTACGAGCAGTTCTTGGTGAAAGATGGGCGACAGTTGCGCGAACCAACAAACATCTCTTCAAATATTCCATGATTCAGCAGATATAAGATTACTCTGAGGACTGAATAAATGTTAAAAAAATGTTAAATGCTAAAAAAACACAAGAGATACTTTTATCCACGTGGAAATGCCACGTGGACAAGGATGAGAGTATATAAGCGGAATGATGAGCTGATCTAGCCATTGCAAACCAGTTCCCTCGAGCAGGCTCAGATCCCGAACTCCAACTCCGCGACCATGCTTTTTGGTGAGTTCAGATCAGTAGATCTAAAAAAATCGATTGCCGATCTTGCCGAATTTTCTAGAGTTTTTTTGAAATTGCCGATTGAAAAAAATCGAAATGAATTCTCGATTTTCGGATTCTTCGAGGCTTCATATTCCTAGGAAAGCTTTTTGAAAAATGAGTAGGATTGTTGTAGGATTGTTGTAGGATTGCGTCATTCTGCTAATTGGCGCGTTTTAACCTCAAAATTTGAAAAATCGAATATATTCGAATCATAAGTTTCTCAAGTTTTTTTCTGATTTTGATGTTTATTTTGTTTTTGCTTTAGTTGTTGGAAATTTCTTTTGGGAAATTATAGAACCCTTCGAAATGAAAAGTTTTTCACGATTTTCAAAAAATTTTTATTTCAATTTTTTTGAACTAAATTTATGGGAAAAGTTATGAAATGTATTAGCGATTATGTTAAGCAGAATCTATCCTACGTTTCACAACGAAAAACAGACATTTTTTGGCTTTTTTCGAAAAAATAGCCTTCGGTCCCTAGGTATTGTGACTTACTTGTACGTCTTCAAAAGATTTATTGATATCCAATAAACATCTCTCTTCAGAAACGTAGATTTATTCAAATGATAACTGATTTTTGAATCATGTTGTCTATAAATTAATTCATTTTGCTGCATTTCCCGAAAATTTCTGACATGGAGAAATTGCCGATTGCTGGCTAATCAATGATTGAATGACAGCTTGTTTCTTTTTGAGTTTCTGTTTGAAAAAAATAACCAAAAACAAAAAAATAATAATTCGAAATCAATCTTGTTACGAAATAATTAAAACTAGCATTTCCGAAAATTGAATGACGACGAGGGGTTCAGCTAAATCATTATGATTCTCGGTAGAATCAGAGAAGTTTTCAGGGTTTCCGAAATCCTTATAGTTTGAAAGCTACCAAACTTAGCATACTGAATTGTATGGCTTATTTTTCGATCCTTCAGATAAAGAAACATATTTTCAGATAAAGAAGATTGCCGCAGGAATGTACAAAAAAACCGACAGGCACTCTTACAACGGCTACGGTCCAGAAGACGGAAGAGAAAGGTGAATTTTCCTCTGACATTTGATGTCATTTTTAGCGTCGGGTTCAGAATTTTTTTATGAATTTGCTCAAACAATCTTTGATAGACTCTTTGATAGAAAATTGAAGAGATTTTAAAAATAAAAAAATACCATGATCATGTTTTAATACCAGCTGATTAGCAGTTATAGTCTGTTCAGATTTTGAATGTCAAGTCGTCGCTCAAGCTCCGCCCTAATGGTGCGATAAAACAATCAGAGAGCGATTCATCCACAGACTGTTTTTGAATGACGTCATTGCACTTGACATTAAAAATCTGAACAGACTATAATCACCCATAGTTGATGGAGAATGTACACAGAGTTAATGAAAATGTGGTAGACGTTCTGCAGTGAATCTTTGACGACGTCTATGCGAGAAAGACGCATTATTTGATAAAAAGTTAGTTGAAAAAATCACAGTGTTCATTTGTGGTCGAAACACGACATCCTCACAATAGAACGACAAAGGAAAAAATGAAGGAAAGAAAAAAAGATGGAGATTCAAAAAAGACGTGAATATTCCCAAGAATCGTTTTCAAAAATTCAAATTTTCAAAGATTCGAGCCTCCAAGATAGGTGTATGCACAATTTACGCTCACGAATATTCGGGAACCCAAAATTCCTTCCTACTATCTTCGAAATGTCACTTCGAAATGCGTCGGTCATTTTTTGACCACTCGAAATGCCTATTCAAAAATTTTCTGTTACGCTGGAAGTGAGGACTTGTGCGCGTGACACATTCCTTCTTGCTGCGTTCCACTCATTCCACGTGCAAACTTTGAGCCGTCATAACTTGACTACGAGGCAAAAGTCGAGAAATTTTATTTTTGATTTGGAGTCAGCATGTCTTAAAGTACACCCCTGCGAAATTTCAACAAAACTTCAACCGGGGGATAAAAATAGTTCCCTTGTCAGGGTAATCAAAAGATTTTTTATTACCACGAAGCACGCGGAGTTTTTTTCAAAATTCAATACTTTTCGCAAACCGCTTTCCAAAATTTTGAGGGCTTTCCTCAAAAAAAGCATAAATTTGACACTGAATTTACACTTTGCTCGGATTAGGCACCGTGACAGCACCGTGCATTTGGAGACCGGGTCTCAAAAAAGTGCCTGGCACAGAGCATATGATCTGCGCCCTCAGGATCGCATCACGGCAGGGATGCGCGGCAATGCCAAATTTCGGCAACTTTCAATAACACAACAACATATTAGCTAATTATTTTTCGAATTTGGGCGGTTCGAGGGCTTTTTGAAGTTTTATACGTGTCTTCCTGCTTTTGAAGTGAGTATTCGAGCACACAAGGATTACAAGAAAATCTTCAATTTTCTGCAAATCCAGTGAAAAAAGGGGGCCACATAAATAAGATTACGCTGCTGTGACCGGAATAAATCGAGCAAGGAAGGCTTTTAATAACAATTTTCCTTTTTATTATTTTTTTTGACAAAAATTTCAAAAAGCTGAATTTCCTAATCCCAAAAATTGCCGGCAACTCAAAAACCGGCAATTTCGGCAATCCGGCATTGCCGCACATCCCTGCTTCACTAAGCGTTCCGCGCACAGCTCTGCATTAGAGTTCTCAAAACCGAACGTTCAAAAAAATGACCGTTTGAAAAAAATGAACTTTTTTTCATTTTTTTCGATAGTTTAGGATATATCATTTTCAAACGTTCAACCAAAAAAAGTTCGAAAAATCGTTTTCTTATAATAATGAACGTTTGCTTTTTCACATAAAAAAACGGATGTTCGTTTTTTTGAACGAACTTTTTTTGAAATGGAAAACGAACGTTCGTTTTTTTGAACGAACTTTTCACGAGCGGAAAAATGAACGTTCACTTTTTGAACGAACTTTTTCACGAGCGAAAAAAATGAACGTTCATTTTTGAACTCTTAGAACCCATTTCGAACGATTTCAATGGCAATTTAATGCCTGCTCCAAGCCGATGTATGGCTGAGGATCGCTCGAGCTGACCCACTTCTAAGCCTCAATGTCTGGGCGGGATCAAGTGAGCCTTTTTAAGCTGTATCTTTCGAAGGTCACTGGGTGGGATATCTGATCGTTTCTACGTATTAGGATATAATAAATATTTTACTTCAACAACTACGTTGTCTAGCAAAATATAACATTATATTCCAAATACTACGAAACGATCACATACAGTACCGCTCAAAAGTCTATTAAGTTTTGGTTTTTGGGGATAAACTTTTTGAAATGCGATATCGATTCAAATCATAGTTTTTCTGAGAGAGACATACGTGTTCTGGCAAAATTTCAAGTTGCTAGCTCAAAGAATAATAATTTTTTTCGAGAAAAAACGAATTTTCGAAAAAAATCGAATTTTTGCTATTTTCAATTAAAAAAATCATAGCTCAACATTTTTTTATCAACACAAAACATTGTTAAAAACAATATTCGGGACCTAGTACTTGGTTGCGAAGCCCCTGGCGTCAATCACTGCCTGGCATCTTCTCTGCATAGAATTGAGCAAAGTGTCGATGGTAGACATGGGGATCTGATTCCATTCAGACAGCAGTTGAGCAAACTTCTCGTTGCAATTCTTGGCTCTTTTGTTGGCACAACGTCGCTCCAACTCTTCCCAGAGATGTTCGATCGGGTTCAGGTCCGGAGATTGACTTGGCCACCCCATGACATTGACGCGACGGCTCTTGAACCAGTCCTGAGTTTCAAAACCATACGAATTACTTGTCAATTTTTCTCACCTTGACGAACAGTGAAGTGTGCTTGGGATCGTTATCCTGTTGATAAACACTCCCACGGCCCATGGCTCTCAAGTGCGGCAACATCTGGTTCTGGAGAATGTCTTTGTAGACGTGCTTGTCCATGATGCCGTTCACGCGATGAAGCGGTCCGATGCCACTTCCAGAGAAGGCGCCCCACACCATGCAAGAACCTCCACCATGTTTCACGGTGGGTAATTGGTATTTCGGATGATATCTGGACCCAATTGGTCTACGAACCCACTGAATTCCGTCACTCCCGAAGAGGAGGAACTTGCTTTCGTCGGACCACAGAATCTTGTTCCAGTCTTGACGGGTCCAGTTGTGATGCTCCTTCGTCCACTTCACCCTGGCGGCTCGATTCTTTTCAGAAATCAGCGGTTTCTTCACTGGACGTCTTCCCATGATTCCAGCAGCATTTAGACGTCGTTTCACGGTCGAGACGGATGGCGGAGATGGCGAATTCAAGAAAACTTCCCGTCTGATCGCAGGGGCGGTGAGTCTTGGATTGGTTCTAGACGTCTTCAAAATGTTCCTATCGTCATTACGATCAGTGACACGTGGTCTTCCAATGCGTTGGCTGTTAGTAGAGCCATCTTGAGCTTTCTGACGCTTTAGGAACTGAGAAATGCCCGCCTCTGTCACGCCGAACATTACTGCCAACGTCATCATGGTCAGTCCATTTTGACGACCCACAACGATGGCTCTTTTTGTCGTTATCAGTCAAATTCTTATTTCCAAAGGTTCTTCCCATGTCTAAAAAAACATGAAAAAATCATATGGCAACATTATTAATTTTAAAAAAATTTAATAAAAAAATAAATAAAAATAAAAGCATAAAAAAACAAAAATGGAATTCAATAAAAAAATGCCTAAAAACGCGTCACAGTCATTGCGGACATGTCTTTTGTATACCGTATATGTTTCAAAGTATATTTTACATTATCCCTGAAAGTTATATATAAATCGGATAAGTACTCGCTGAGATATCCCCAAAAAACCAAAACTTAATAGACTTTTGAGCGGTACTGTAGCTAGTTTAAAGCAACATTGAGGCTGTGGCTCTTAAAGCTTCGACAGATGTGCTCGCGAGCATCGATCGGACCGAGGATTTATCCACCATTGAAGATCTTGTTTAGAAAACCCTTCCTTGTCGCGATTCTCATCTCCATGGTTCGGAGATCATCCGTCAGTACTAGCTATCGACGTGTATAAAGCCTTTTTACTGGCTTATCCGCTTATACCCTCTGCCTCGAGCAACGTACATGTGTATTTGTTGATGAGTCCTGTCTTTGGACTCGTTGGGTATGTACTGCGGAAATGTTCCTTCTCCATGAGAACTGCTCCTGGTTAAGCAGAAATTGTACGTTTTCGAGACCAGTGATTTTAGGTAAAGCTTTTTTTCTCTTCTTTTGAACCTTTTTCGTTCAGAGGTTGCTTCAGTTGTATGCCTCCAACTTTTTACCTAATTTCTTTTTTTCTGGAGCTGGCAGCGACTCAACCCTCTTCTTTGGTCATGAGGTGGTCTAGCTTCCTTAAAATGGCTCCCCACGATCCTTCACGCCTTTCTAGCGTATACAGCATCATCGCTCCTTTTCCTGAAGCTGCTGATTTCGATACCTCATTCAACCCATGAACCACCCAATGGTTCGGATTCCGGGGAATATACAATTTGATGCAAATTGTTGGGTTTCGGAAGATCTTTGGAACTTTTAACACTGTCTCTCTGCCAGAGTGGACTACGACCCGCTCTCTCCGCATGTATTATGCCACGTCGCGATGATCATTACTTATTCATCGTGGAGAGCTGGTGATCCGAATCAGATCCGAGCGTAAGTTTGCGCATTTTTGACTCTTTTCTACCTAATGAGTAGATCCTCATTATTTTAGGTAGGCAAACTTGTTTCTCAAGGCATCTTCATACTGTCTGTCAGTATTCTGGCCTGTGCACTCTCGGAACTCTGATTGTTCTCTGCTAACCTCTTCTTGTCCAGATCGCTGATACGTCAGCTATACTTGTGAGCTCAAGCTTTCCTGGCTTATGTAGATAAGGCTGAGGCTGTCTCCTTCCGTTGACTAACTTCAACATTTGCGGAGAAAAAGGGGACATACCGAACCTTCATTTACTCCTGTAATGCAGTAACCGGTTGGTCTAGCCATCTATGAGTGATTGAGATCGATCTCCTGGCTTCATCCCTGGACGTCTCTATGAGCGTCTGTGTCACCTCATCAGTGATGAGGTAACTTTGGCATGCTAGATCTATTCCGACTTGACGTCTTTGAATCTTGCCGAAGGATCAAGTTCCAACTGTGCTAGTTGTTCTTTGATCCAGTTCCCCGAAGCCTCCATTTCTAGTCGGCTGAGTGGAACAGCTCTCTTGTACAGCTCTTTTTCCCTTTCATTTTCCTTCCATGAGTTTTAGGTTATTGCTTGCTTGCATACAGAGTTGAGCCACAGTTCCTTTCTCATAGCCTGGTTTCCAGATTTTTGGACCTGAAAGTCCAACACCTTTCGTTCCTGAGGGCGATTGTCTATCATTGACAGATTGAGCCTCCTCGTGAACCGGGTGAATTCGCTTTGTAGGAACTGGAATGTCAGGACTGCGGCTCAGATCCTTCATATGAAAGTGATAATTTTCTTCGCTGTGTAGCGGCCTCTCGAATCGGTTTTCCGTCTACCTCTCCGATGCCAAGCATCGAATCAGGCTTGAATGACGGTGATCTGAGGTATCACTATCGATCTGATGCCATCGCCGGGAAGGTGTACATCCGCCAGATATTCGAGGCTTTCCAGCTTTCTGTATTGGAATTTTCTCGAACAGGTATTCGCTGTTTCTGGTCCTTCTGATGTCTTCTCAGCTATTTCTGAGCTATCTCGCCTTGGATTTTTCTCCTGTCGCATTTTTTTCTAGCTTTCGGAGCTTGCGAAACTGGCAAAATGTCGAACTGTTGACTAGCCATGGACGAGAATCACTTCTCTACTGGCGGTCGGCTTTCGAGGCCTTTTAATCATTGATCTCAATGATTGTCTATGAAATCCACCGTTCTGTGATCCAGAACCATTATAGCTCGGATTTCTTTACAGTTCGTCGAAATGAGCTCATGGAGGAGGTCGAAAGCAACTCGACTCTTCTATGTTTGAACCCTCACTCGTTTGGTGAAACAGGTTCTTTTTCCCCGATGATCTCCCAGCATGAGGTTGTGAACACTCGTGATAATCGAGAAACCATCAGGGTTCGTGCTCGGATCAAATAGTTGACCAGGACGGAGGGTAACTCGTTCTTCCTCTAATGGCTCGGGAGCTTTTAGTCTTTGCGTTTGCCCGGCCTCGTGAATAGGCGTTCACGATGCTGAACTTTGGGAGTCCTTTGCTTTGGGACATTTCATCTGTCCCAAAGGATAATGGATCTCCTTCTGGCCAGGGAGTTCCTTTGTATTGCCAATTTAATCGATAGAAGACGGGGAATCGACAGCGATTTCGTTGAATATTCAATCGGAACTAACTTGTTCCCTATCGAGACGTTTGAGATCTGTCAGTGGTGATGTACCGACTGACGTTCAGGGAAAAAGGTCTTTCCCTCCGTCCTGAACTTCAATATCTCGGAATAGTTCGATCCAATCTATTCTATGTTGGCTTTATTTCAACAATTAGGAAAATTTTTTCCTCTTGGCGAGGTCGAGTGCTCGAAGCTTTCTCGTGCGTCGCGACTTTGCTTTAGTGCGATTTCCTGTCAACACGCTCCGTTTCTCTTGTTCGAGAAAAAATCCCTTCTTATGGATCGTATCGAAATGATTGACTTCTCTGAGGTTTTTCGCTCCTATCTTCTAATGAAGAACGTTTAGAAAAACAAACGGAGCTTTCAGAAATTCGATAGATATCGTCTTTTCTTCCTGCTCTAGGAACTGGCAAAGTAGCTTCTCTTTCCGCTACTGTGTTCGCCAGGTTCAAGGAATCTGTCGTCTTTGACGACGAACCGCGTCGTGATTCTCTCGGTTATAGAGTTTATGCCACACTCTCCTCTATGCTTCATTTTGGATCATCTCCAAATCGACTAAAATCAGTCGACATCATCCTTCTGTTCAGGAACTAGAGATACCGCTCTCTTTGTTGCGAGCGTGTATGTACCCCTGAGTTGGCAGCCCAGTTATGAACCTGGCTTATCATCAGCATATCTTTCTGCTTTTTCAGCATACCTCTGTGCTTCATTGCAGATAATTCTGCCTTGTATGTTATCCTCTTTCCTCATGGAATTTGGGTTCTGATGACCGCTTCTCACTCAGCGAGGATCGCAATGAAACTCCTCTGACGCCTTCTCTTCTCCGAGAAGTACTACACCGTCAGACAGAATCATGTTTCCAGAAATTTCAGCTTCTGGGGCACTATGATCAAAATGCGTAGAATCTTTGCGGATTTATGGATTGAATAATCTGCATTCTTTCATAAGATTCTAGTCGAACCCTGGTTTCTCAAGGTGACATGCATCTGGCTAGTTCAGGATTGCACTTCCTGTTCGCCAATCGCCTCGTGTCTGATACAGGCATAACCAACGGCTTCAGTTTGTTACTGGAAACCTCAACTGGTTTTCCTCAGGTTGACAAATTTCTTTGTCCTTGCCTGATTCGTTCCCGAGGACCCGGGTCTCGACAAAATTTACTTCGGAGTTCCAGAATTGGTTCTATTTGGGATCAACAGTTTCTTGTTGCTCTGATCCGGGTAGTGACTCTGACTGTCAGTGAGACCCCGGACCTTGGTTCCTTCACGGATCCACTTTCGCTTAATTTACGGATATCTGTCTCCGTTGGTTTAAGCGCGGTCCCTGTGGGTTGTGTATCACAGGGCCTCAGACCTCGGTTCCATGTTGGATCCGATTTTTGGTTCGAACCAGGTGAACGAGATCTCCTGGTTCTCACCAGGATCCTGTCTGACTCCGACAGGACCCCGACCGATCTGTAGCACAGGGCCTCAGACCTCGGTTCCATGCTGGATCCGATTTTCGGTTCGAACCAGGTGAACGAGATCTCCTGGTTCTCACCAGGATCCTGTCTGACTCCGACAGGACCCCGACCGATCTGTAGCACAGGGCCTCAGACCTCGGTTCCATGCTGGATCCGATTTTCGGTTCGAACCAGGTGAACGAGATCTCCTGGTTCTCACCAGGATCCTGTCTCTCTCTCTCTCTCTCTGCTTGGAAGGGTTGCTCACCTAGATTTACGGTAGACAGCTTGCGCGCGAACATTTGAATTTCTTGTTGCTCAAGTGCTTCACGTGATTTTTCATGTTTATTTCAGCTGTATCTTTATCTGTTTTTGTACTGATTTACGGTAATTATTTTTTTATTGCGACAGCAAAATGCGAAGGAACTCAATTTTTCAATATTAACTGCTGTGTTTTGACCAAATTTTTCCCTTTAAAGCAGCCTTTCAGCAACATTTTTCAGTGTCAAATTAAATTTTTTATTCGAATCAATCAAACTCTTCATTTTCGCAACATCAGAATGGTATGGCGATGTTGCAGAGGAGAAAAAATACCACTAGGTGGATGAACTAAACTAGATCTGTAAAGAAAACTTTTTTAAAATTTTCAATAAGTCGGGAAAGACACATAGAACCACAATAAGTCATTTTCGGCACAAAATTCCACGTTTTTCACTCAAAAAAAGGACTTTAACCAATTTTGAATATGAAAGGTGTGAAAGTGTTCAGAAAATAAGAAAAACTTTGTGGCGCCATAAGTAGAGCTTGAGGGCGATGATCGTCGAAACGATGCTCACAATCAAAAGGACCACTATCACTGCACAGGCGATGTACAGCAGCGTGTCTGTGAAGAAAAAGCCCAGATAACTCTTCTCAATTTGGTCGATAATTCAAAAGAACTCAATGATGTACACATATTATAAAATGACATCTGAAAAAAAGGCTAGGTTCAACATTTTCTCACCGCAAAAAAATCTCTACAATTTACATCCTTTAATACCCATTATGTTCACTGAATTTATTTTTCAAAAATATATTAATCATTTTTCAAAAAGCGTCTAGTCTATCTTTCTATCACTAAAATTCAGTTTTCGTTACTTTTTTTCCTTAAACTCACTGTTGCTAGAGCACTTCTCCTTCTCGGCATCTATCTTCTGCGTGCACAATTGGGAGATCACCGCGGCGGAAGAGTTCGATCTAGGGACTCCTGCTCGCTGGGTCGCGCCAAGAACCGTCGGCTGAGTAGTCGTCAATGACTTGCAGGCTTCAAGGGTCTGGAAAAGTCATACTTTCTGTAAACACTTTTTGGTTTTAGATATCGATTCATGTCCTTAAAAAGTTTGCTAGGATGTTCAAAGAGTCTTTCAAGAGCTTTCCACTCTTGAATCTTCATGAAAATATTTTTCTGTGCGCCTATAAAAAGAAACATTTTTTTGAAAAATGAAGCTAAAAAAACGTCATATTCAAGTGCTTCAAAAAAAGAATTGTGTTGTTTTGTTTTTAATTTTTCTCTCCTAGAAAAAAACTTAAGTCGAGCCTTTGAAAAACACTGTGAGATATTTAATTTCTCATCATTCTTTCAAAGAAAAAAATCGTACCTTATTTCCCACTCTGTGCAGTCGGTCGACTATATCTTGAGGGATACTTCCTGCAATCTTGATCAAGTCGGTAGTGCCGTCGCAGTAAATAGAGACGTCATCGACTTCGATTTTTTCCAAATTAATGAAAGATTCTGAGCCCAAAGTGCTGTTAATCAGTGACAAAGCTGGACCTGAAAACAGAAGAAGCTATTAAAAAATAAAAATTTTGAAATTTCATGGAACGACACTCCCTCCCCCGTCTGGCGCGACTTTGCGGCGAGAGATTTAAGTTCCGCAGGCTTGCGCCAAGAAAAACCCAGCGCTAAAATTTGCGCGAACCTCGCGCAATACAGGGCGCAAGCTTGCGCTATGGGAGGGCTGCTTTAGAGCTCACAAACTCATTTACAGTAATTCCGAAACTGTTTCGTCTATGTTTTCTATTTTCCTAAATTATGTTTTCTTTTTCTATATATATTTTTCTGGTTTTTTATAAATGAAATTTTATCATCATCGTTTTTAGTTGACTTCATATTTGTATGCGACGCGTCGAAACGTATCTTTTTTTCGAGAGATTCGATGTATTGGTTTATCCGATTATACTTTGAGAAAGGTAATTATTTTGTTTTTTTCTTCCTAGCGAAGACGTTTTTTGATTATTTTTTTCTTAAAAAAATTAACTCCAGAAATTACAAAAAAAGTGAGTTCGATATTCTTTGTATTAGCTGTAATACTGAATTTTTTTCAGATCTAATGAAGAGAGAGTTCAACAATAAGATTCTCATGGAGTGGTGAACATGATATATGGAAGTTTGCAATGTTGAGGTTTGTAGTTTTCGAATAACATTTCATTATTTCTCTTATGTTCTTGGTACAATCCAAAGCTGTACACTACGTCTATAATAAGGATATATACAGAAAACTTGAAGAGATTTCGAAAAAAGTTTATCAGAGTCAAAAAGACGATTTTGTGATGGATTAATATTAATAAAATGGCTATTATGATGAAACTTGGGTTCCATAGGTAATTCTTTACGCTCAATCGGATGGCTTTAACAGATTTTTGATATATTTTCTGGATTCGCCGAAAAGTCCATGATCGAGGGTGGTCCTATCCTTATTGGACGCAGTGTACCAGATATAATATCTGTTCATATAAAAATTAAAGGGACCCTGATAATCATGTGATTGTTTAACAAAAATATGTTTTTTTTTTATTTTAACAAAAATCGTATAAAGTGAAAAAGCAACTATAAAACTTCAGCTATGATACGCCGAATTTTCGACACGATGATGGTCAAAAGAAAGAGGTTCCTCCACCCTGGTTCGAAATATGCGAATAAAAGTAATTTTGATTATTTTTTATCTTTGAAAAAAAAGTTTTTTTTTTAGATGAGAGCGATGGAACGTTCGCTGCGTAACGTCCCAAGCCATCGATTCGCAGGCCCTTATTAGAAGACTTTTTCCGAGGCTAATGGATGAATGAAGGAAGAAATTGTGTTCAACACTATCGAGATTCTGCTAGCGCAACTGTACACATCTTTATATTGTTGAAAACCCACTTGCAAGAATATGAACATCATAATTTCATGTAGTTTTCTGAAAAGTCGAGACTATACTGGAAATCGTTATGCGCGATCAATTATTCAAGCTACTTGTAATTATATTTTACCTAGCCCTTACCAGGTAACTACGCAGGCACTTGTTTGCAAGTTGAGTTGCAACATTTTTAGATAGACCTGGATAGGGATGCTTGAAAAACAGTTTACCTACTGGGTTTCAAAAATTTGCAGAGAAATAGGCTCACTAAACTGCACAGAAAAGATTTGAAAAATACTTTTATAATACTACTTTTCATTAGATTGAAGTATCAGAACTCTTGCAAGTGGAAATTTTTATTGTATGTCATGATGTATTTTTGATATTTCTGCGTTTTGAAATTGTTCCATGTTTCACTTTTTTTCACTGTTTCTGAACTTCCGGGTCTTCTGAATCTTACTATTTTGCAAATAAAATACAGGCGACCTTTGAGCGTTGTAACTCAAAAGAGGAAAATAAGAGGAAGGACGAGGAGGAGAAAGGAAAAGGATATCACGAATGCGTGCTCCATGGATAATTCGCGCAACCCTTGCGCCTCTACGCGCAAGCTTGCGGCTAACATGTGCACATACTCGCGCAATTCACGGCGCAAGCCTGCGAAATCCTCGCCGCAAAGTCGCGCCAGACGGGGGAGCCGCTGTTTCGATTTGTGCGATAGCGCGCTTTTTGCGAATTCGCCAACCTCGGCCACGCTAATGGTTTTCATTCTATTTTTTTGATCGTTTTTTTAATTATTTTATTCCGTTAAAATGTATTATTACCGTTGAGAAGGATTGTGTTGTACAAATGTAAACGAAAGAACACAGTAAATTTCATGATCTTTCTCGAAAAAAAGCGATAGAAAAAAATTTAAAAACTTCATGTATTCGTCAATCGCTTTAATATTGTTTTTTTCTCGTTTCTCAAAAAGTTTTTCAAAGATTTACCAAAAAAAGATTTGCGGGTGAAATAGGCCGTAAACACCACAATATTCTACAAAAGTTTCTGTGTTTTTAAATGTTTTCATGGTCTGTTTGCAGTGGTTAATGGATTTTTTTCCAGAAAGTGAGTGTCTTATAAAATGAAGACGTGAACTTCCATGAGCACAATGAAATAGAGAGATCGGTTTCAGTCAACATAAGGTTAAATCAACTCCTTTATTTTTGTTCTTTCACTTTTTATTGCCGTTGGACATGATTTTATTGAGGGAATCTGGACGAGATTTCAAAGGTTGGCAAGGAAGGAAGAAGCTTATCCATAAGGATCTAAGACGAGGTTAGTTTTTTTCTTATCCCACTGACATCGAAATTGCAGAGTAACGTTTGGTTTTAAAAGACGCGATATTTTCAACTTCACAAGTCTTTGCGGCGTTTTGTGGATTTTCATCGAGGTTAAATATCATTCACTGTTCTCTTGCTAATGCTTTTTGATAATTTCAACCGACAAGAATACAAGAATTTGCAGAAAAATGCTCAATATGAAGAGATTATTGCCTTTTTCGAGCTTTGCAATGGAACATAATTTGAAGAAAGGTTTTTGGTTCCTTTTTTTAGATGGAGCTTTAGATAATGCGTCAGAAATGAGGCGTGAACAGTGGGCACTTGGAACAGTGGAAACGATGTGCTGAACGAAAAGTCCAGAAAAACTAATGATTTTTTTCCTTTGAACTTATGTATCTATTTTTGTATAAATTCGTCAATGTTGAAACATTAATTTGTTTTTTTAAACATTCATTGTGTTTTATTTCTGATCGGGATATGTTTTTAAATGATTTGAAAAATTACAAGTGAAAATGGAAGAATGTTGCATGTCAGGGACGTTGAAATCAATATTATAAACGCATTTTTTCGCTTAAAATTCGAGAAGTAGTTAACTTTATTTATTTCTAATGAAACAGTCTACCCACTAGCAATGATAATCATGAGTTTGGCACGAAGAAAACTATTGAAACATAATTAAAAACAGTGAAATTTTCAAATGAAAGAAAAAAATGGAAAGCGCGACCGAAATTCGCAAAGGCAAGGCGCTTTCACGACCACAAGGCCACCACCGGAGTGTCGCTCCATGAAATTTTAAGTCGTGGCACATCGACTATACCATGGCAAGAAAAAAATAATTTCCGCTTTGAAGATAAAGTCAGTTCCTCGAAGTAAAAACAAACTTTTTTTTTGGGTTTACACGGTGCCCGAAGCACTTTAAATAGCAGCGCAATGTCACTGATAAGTAGCGGAAAATTCATAATGGAAGCTCATTTTTTTTTCATTATGGAAAGAAACTTGCCCGGCCCCTTGTGGATGATTTCTTTGAGGAATTTGACATTCACGTCAGTTTTGATCAATGTGATCGTACTGCTCTTCTCCGCCGCCAATAAAAACAAACAGACTGGTCCATTGCCTCGACCCTGGTCCACATAAACCAGCGCTTCGGTACACTTGACCTTCTCAGATGTGCATTCCGATGGTTTAGCGTCTCCAGACCCGTACGCGTACATGGGCCTCTTGCAGCAAGATTCTGCAAGTTAAAAATCTTCATCGACTGCAGCTTAGAGAAGAGCATTATAGTCTGTTCAGATTTTTAATGTCAAGTGCAATGACGTCATTCAAAAACAGTCTGTGGATGAATCGCTCTCTGATTGTTTTATCGCACCATTAGGGCGGAGCTTGAGCGACGACTTGACATTCAAAATCTGAACAGACTATAACTGCTAATCAGCTGGTATTAAACCATGATCATGGTATTTTTATTTTAAAATCTCTTCAATTTTTGGCATTTCCAACTATAAAGTCCAAACTTTTATAAAACTACTCATTCAAAAAACACGGGCTCCTAAGTCCGCAGCAAACGATCGATACTATAGTTCGTTTAGATTTCAAATGTCAAGTCCTAGCTGAAGCTCCGCTCCCTAATGGCGAGATGAACCAATCAGAGAGCGAGCCACCCACAGAGCGATTTCGAATGACGTCATTCGACTTGACATTCAAAATCTGAACAGACATATATACTTTATTTAGCGACCAAGATCTACCGTGAAATGACTATAATAATAAAAAGTATAATGTTAAGATTGTCAATACTCATGTGACTTACGGGTAGAATCAGCATAACATGCGTTCAGCAGTGCTATCATAAGCAACATCTTCAGATTGAATCTTCCTGAAACAAAAAGATTGAGTTTGAAAAAAGATGTGAAATAACATACCTTCAATACGATTCCACTTCATTCTTGGTGAAGTGTCCGCTGCTGAAAAAAGTTTTAATATAATTGAAAAATTATATAGTCTGTTCAGATTTTTGAATGTCAAAGCCGCTAACTCCACCCCCAAGGCTACAATATCTTTCGCGTCAATGTTTTTATCTACAGATGACGATGGCCCTTTTAATAAGGCTGCATTTTTTTGACAGGCGAAGATCTTTGATGAAGGTTCAGCGCTTTACTGAAACATTTTCTGCTGATTTTCAAAAACTAGTCTCTGATAATGTGAAGTCGGCTAAAACTTCAAAAATTTTTCATAATTTTTGTCCATAAAAAAAGGCGATTTTAGAAAGAAAGTAGCTATCAAACTTATTTGGAAAGGTTTACTCATGAAATTTTAATATTCTCATCAGAATTCGTTTAAAAAAATAATGGCAAAAAAGTTAGCGGCAAAAGGATTCGAACCTTCATCATAGGCTCGCAAACTAACACGCTACCCACTGCACCACGCTCCTAGCTGCCATGCAGAGGCATTCCTTCCAAACGGCGTCACATGGTTAAGGATAAAAACTTTGAAAGATCATATCTCCAAAACAAAAAGTTTGTGCAGGTAGCGACTATGGAGGATCGATTCCCAGTCTATCAAAGATTGTTTGAGCAAATTCATAAAAAATTCTGAACCCGACGCTAAAATGACATCAAATGTCAGAGGAAAAAAAAATTCACCTTTCTCTTCCGTCTTCTGGACCGTAGCCGTTGTAAGAGTGCCTGTCGGTTTTTTTGTACATTCCTGCGGCAATCTTCTTTTATCTGAAAATATGTTTCTTTATCTGAAGGATCGAAAAAATAAGCCATACAATTCAGTATGCTAAGTTTGGTAGCTTTCAAACTATAAGGATTTCGGGAAACCCCTGAAAAACTTCTCTGATTCTACCGAGAATCATAATGATTTAGCTGAACCCCTCGTCGTCATTCAATTTTTCGGAAATGCTAGTTTTAATTATTTCGTAACAAGATTGATTTCGAATTATTATTTTTTTGTTTTTGGTTATTTTTTTCAAACAGAAACTCAAAAAAAGAAAACAAGCTGTCATTCAATCATTGATTAGCCAGCAATCGGCAATTTCTCCATGTCAGAAATTTTCGGGAAATGCAGCAAAATGAATTAATTTATAGACAACATGATTCAAAAATCAGTTATCATTTTGAATAAATCTACGTTTCTGAAGAGAGATGTTTATTGGATATCAATAAATCTTTAAAGACGTACAAGTAAGTCACAATACCTAGGGATCGAAGGCTATTTTTGAAAAAAGCCAAAAATGTCTGTTTTTCGTTGTGAAACGTAGGATAGATTCTGCTAAACATAATCGCTAATACATTTTATAACTTTCCCATAAATTTAGTTCAAAAATTGAAATAAAATTTTTGAAAATCGTGAAAACTTTTATTTCGAAGGGTTCTATAATTTCCCAAAAGAAATTTCCAACACATAGAGCAAAAAAAAAAAATAAACATCAAATTTTTTTCAGAAAAACTTGAGAAACTTATGATTCGAATATATTCGATTTTCAAATTTTGAGGTTAAAACGCGCCAATTAGCAGAATGACGCAATCCTACAACAATCCTACAACAATCCTACTCATTTTTTTTCAAAAGCTTTCCTAGGAATATGAAGCCTCGAAGAATCCGAAAATCGAGAATTCATTTCGATTTTTTTCAATCGGCAATTTCAAAAACTCTAGAAAATTCGGCAAGATCGGCAATCGATTTTTAGATCTACTGATCTGAACTCACCAAAAGCATGGTCGCGGAGTTGGAGTTCGGGATCTGAGCCTGCTCGAGGGAACTGGTTTGCAATGGCTAGATCAGCTCATCATTCCGCTTATATACTCTCATCCTTGTCCACGTGGCATTTCCACGTGGATAAAAATGAGAGAGAGAAATTCACGTCAACGTCTACTTTTTTTCATGATTCGAGATCAGTTCAATGATGGCCACGTAACGAATATTCAATATTCCACATCACAAGAAACTTTTCAAAAATTTTTGTGAATCAACTGAAATCCTATCAAAAAAAGTTCAACTAATGACTCAAATAAATAGGAAAGTCGGAAATTTGCAATTTCTTCATCACCCCTTTCCAGTTCAGAAGCTTCCTTTTTTCTGATCAACAGAAAAATTTCAAAGATTTAGTTGACTTCTCAGGGCTGTGGCGGGAACATATACTTTGCTCCCGCTATGTACCCGTGAGTAAATCGCCTAAAATGCTCAGATTTTCCCCAATTCGCAACAAATCGAGAGAGAGAGAATCGGTCAAAAGTGCTCATTCCAACCTAAATACATTTTTTAACACGAATACCGTTGTGTTTATAGTCTGTTTAGATTTTGAATGTCAAGCAGCTAACTCCACCCCCAAGGCTACAATATCTTTGGCGTCATTGTTTTATCTACAGATGACGATGGCCCTTTAATAAGGATGAATTTTTGACTTCTTTTTTTCTATCTTTTAGATCAAAAAGATCAAAATTAGTCCCGCGCGAAAAAACATCGACGCGAAAAAGGTACCGTCTCAGCAGGGGTGGAGTTAGCTGGTTGACATTCAAAATCTGAACATACTATATTTCGAAAAAAAGAGATGCAAAGGGCAAAAAAAGCTATGACACTCAAGTTTGCTCTGAAAGATTTAAAAAAATGTTTGAAAAATTAACTTTGGCTACCACAGCAGGTTTGCCATGAATAAAAAAACATTTCAAAAAAATAGAATAAAAAAATTAATTGGAAGTTAAAAGTTTTATACATCTCTCATGTTGGTGGGGTTGACCCGCCGTGCAAATGCGGAACGACGGCGGATGAAAGAAGCAAAAAGAGCAACGGCGCGGCAAAAAACGGGCGAACGGCGGGGGGTAAAGAGCCTGCGGGGCTTGAAGCGTTGATGCGTATTAGCCCCGCCGTTAACCCGCTGTCAAGGAGTGCGCACAGTTTGCAGAATGACCACCGCAAAAAGGCATAAATGAAACATTTAAAATTTATCTTTTTTTGAAAAATATCCTTAAAGAAGTTGAAGGATTCCTTGGTTCCATATATTTTTTTTTGACTGAGTTCTTTGTTTAATTTGATATTTTTTTGAGGATCGAAATGAGCAAGCTGGCTTCTCCTCACTTACCTCCATGACGTCGGCGTTTTGCACCGCGACATCGCTGCCCGCAATTGTCTCATGGACGCAAAGGGAAATGTATATTTCCATGAAAGCTTCAAAAAATTGACAAACGTTTTCAGGTCAAAATAGCAGATTTTGGCCTTTCCGTGAAGGCATATTACTATGAGATGGTGGTAGCCGAGAATCTACCAACGAGATACCTCGCGCCCGAGTGCCTCGTTCGTTTTGCGTTTAACGCCCAAACGGACATCTTCGCCTTCGGGGTTTTCTTTTTGCTCTTAGTGAGGGATTTTCTGGAAACCGGTCAGAATAGTCCTCGATGTCCCAAATGGGAAACCCGAAAGTCAACTGCGAAACTTTCTTTTTATTTGTGATACCCTGACTCGAAATCAAAAACTAGACAGTTTTGCAACTTGAACTTTCCGAGACCTCCACTTGGTACGACTAGCAATATTCTGGGCAGTTTTCTGAAAGCTTCCAGTCGAAAACTGAAATGATCTCCATTGAGAGATTCTGTGGCTAAATTGAAATCCTTTTACAGCATTTGGTCTGCGAAATCCACAATAAATGCGAAATTCCGTATGCGGGAATGTCGGGCCTTGAAGCCCGCAAAGAGGTTAGTTTTTTTATTTTTCACAAAATAAAGTCCTTTTTTTGCAGATTGCCGCCGGAAAAGTGCTGACCGTCCACAGCAGAGCTCCTGAGGCCCTGCGCCTCTACGTCGCGGACCGTCTCTTCGCTTTCCATCCAATATACAGGCCGGCGATGCATGAAGTATACCCTTTCTTTCAGAGCGCATTTTTCGACGCAAAAAGTCCTGTTTTATCGAACAATTTTATAGGTTGTGGGTTTTTTGAAAAAATTGTTGGACTGGCTCAGAAAGGTTAGAAAATCAAGGCTTATTTTCGAAAATGATTGTTTTTACAGAGACATCCCAATGAGCGCGAAGTGGAGAGGACGGTGGATACAAGTGCGAGATCAGTGCAGCCAAGCTACCCCAAAAAGGTGAAATTTGGGTTCAATCTTTATCATTGTTCATCTTGTCCATTGAAGACCAAAAGGGAGGCGAACATCCTCTTTTTAATAGAGGAAAACTTGTTATTTGTTAGGTTACTAGTTAATATGAAAATAGGGTAGGAAAAATGAAAATTTGATGAAAAGAAACCGAAAAAATCATCTTTTTTGAGCCAACATCTTTTACAGGATCTCTTTGAGCGCATGGAGCCCAGTTCGGCTGCGCAGTCGCCACCAGTGGACGTCGCTGAATGAAAGACGTCGAGAGAGGAACCGCGTTGGATTGCCGCCTACGATGAAAAATTGTGTTTGATTGTATTACCTTTTGTGAATTGATTCATGAAGTTATGAATTTATGGCTTTCTAAACATTCTAAGGGATTGAATCGAAACTTTGGCTAGCACTCGAGAACAATGGAGATTTTGCTGAGCTTCTGATCAAGTCTTCTGATAAAAAGCTCCCTCCTCGAAGAGAAGTCCAGAAAGAGTTCCGCAGGCCAGAATTGCACGGGAGTGAACCTTTCCAAACGGGATGCGAAATCTGCGCAAAATAATCGACGAGTTGAGGGGAAATGTCCAGCAACTCTGTTTCCGAGTGATCCAGTTGACCTCAAGCAATCAGAAGCGGCCGACGTCGAAACCGATGAAAATTAAAAACCTTTTTATACACCATTTTTTTGGGTTCCTAACCACTTGTTCTCGTTATATGGTGAATTTTCAGTGTAGTTTCGAAGTTTTTGAATAGGAAAAAAAGTTCAGAAGCGCGTTTTAATCAAGCATCCTGATTCAGTAGAGCTCAATACTTGCAAAAAGACAGAAGAAATAATGAAACCAAAAAGTAATTGAAAAAGTTTCATCATGCTTGGATGTTGTAAATTTTTGTTCCAATTATGTATTGAGAAAATTTTGCAGATTAGTATAGTCTGTTCAGATTTTGAATGTCAAGCAGCTAACTCCACCCCCAAGGCTACAATATCTTTCGCGTCAAGGTTTTACCTACAGATGACGATGGCCCTTTAATAAGGCTGCATTTTTTGACTTGTTTTTCTATCTTTTAGATCAAAAAAGATCAAAATTAGTCCCGCGCGAAAAAAACATCGACGCGAAAAGGTACCGTCTCAGCAGGAGCGGAGTTAGCTGGTTGACATTCAAAATCTGAACAGACTATAACAACAAGTGAGGGGAAAATCCTGCTCTCAAGAAATTACTAACTGATTTCTTAAACTTTATTCATTTTCAAGTTGACCGCGTTCGCCGAGATGAGGGGTCAACTGGATCACTCGGAAAAAAAGTTTTTCAGACATTCTTCCTCCACTTACAAGGCCCCAATGCGTCGATTTATCGAGACATTGGGGTTCTTGTACTCAGTTATTGATCAAAAACTGCGAAAACCGCCATTGTCCTTCTGAGAGAACAGTTTTTCCCAATCAGTTCTTACCCTAGAAATGTTCATATAGGAACATATTTTGTTTGAAAATTGGTTTTTTTTTTCGAGTGCGAATTTTTTTTTTGGCATTTTGAAAAACATGAAACTCTAAATACGAAATTCTTAAAAATTAGAAGATTTATCCATATTTATATTTATTCTTGGAGAGCTTGATTATAAATTCTGACTAACTTTAGAAAAAAACGTCTGACAGACATCGTAGTTCTGCTGAAGATTTTTCAAATATAATTTTTGAGACCAAAAGAATCAAGAGAAAATCATTTTCATAGATATATGTTTTTCATAAGGCTTCGTATCTTTGAAAAAAATGTAAAAAAATATTTGCACACAAAGGGGGTCAAACCTACTCAAAAACGTCAACCACGAAATTGGCCTCGTCACTGCGCCAGGCCAGCTCGGTGAGAACGATCCAGGCGTGTATTTTTTTCCGAGAAGCATTTTCTCTGAATCTCATGTTTAACAGATAATCTCTCCTGTTTATTAGAATTCTTACCAAAAGGTCTTCAAGTCACCAAAGTTTCAACTCTATCCGCGTAGTTTCCTACTCAGTTAACTTTCAATCGTTTTCTTTGAATATGGCCGCTTTTTATTTCGAAAAGTGAGATTTTGGACAAAGTGAGTATTACAGATTTTTTTATTAAGCACGGCAAGAAGTGATTTTTCCAACTTTTAACAATAAATCTTACGACTGCATAAGGAGAAGTTCCTTTGTTAGTCAAACATTCTTAAAATAACTCACTAAGCCGTTGCTTCTTTATGGAGTGGAAATAGTATGAAGCATCCTTATAAAAAAATAGAAAATTGTTTTTCAATGCTTTGCATACTTTTACTCATATCTAGGGGACCGCCAAGGTCCGCCCCTTCGGGAGTCCCTTTTTACTCACCAGGTCAGTACTTCGTTTTTGCTATTTCAATTGCGCGCACAATCAATTGCGTAATCTTAATTGGGTAGAATAGGGTCGGCCAATATCTTATTTTACGTCGAATGTGAACTCCATATTGAAAAACGCGGAGAAAATTGATTGAAGTAAAATATTTTTGAAAAAGGCAACTTTTTATATGCTTTTTCTCTCAAGTTTGTGGCAAACATTGCACATTGAAGTTTTAAAAAGACAAATTTCAAAAAGTTGATAATGAAGTATTTATGCTGTCAAATATGTTTGAACGGTTGGCAGAAATAGAACAAGACTTCATCGAAACTCCTGAACCACTGGTCGATCGGCGTATCCTCACTAACGGAGTGCACTTTCAAGTTCAGTCGGGATTTGCACGCGGTCAATCAATAAATAGCATACGAGGCTAACTTTCTGCTCTTTCGATACCATTTGTGCGCATTCCGATGCTATCCATATGCCATCTGGATTTGAGAGTGCTGACGAAGCTTTAGAAAGCATGCTGACGAAAGTGCACTCCGATAGCACTCTTTACTGCGTACCCTATTTATTGACGGACGATGTGGATACCTCGATTGACCCTTGGAGCGTTAGAGTAAAACAATAAAAATGAAACCCAAAAACGCACTGAAATTCCAGTTTGGTTTTCATACGTTGACTGACAACGATTGGACAAAGTGAAACATATAGATGAGCAACTTCTCTATCTTCTGAAGTCGAAACTCAAAAATGAAGCTTTTTGAAAATGAGAATTTTTGGGCAATTTCTACAAAGGTCAATCGAGATATCCATTCCGTCAGTCAATAAATAGGATACGCGGTAAGAGTGCTATAGGAGTGTTATCCGGCAGCATACTTCTAAAGCTTCGTCAACACTCTCAAATCCAGAGGGCATAGGTATGGTATCGGAGTGCACACAAAGAGCACTGAAAAAGCAGAAAGTTAGCCTCTGTATATATGCTATTTATTGATTGACGGCGTGCAAATTCCGACTGGACTTGAAAGTGCACTTCGTTAGCTATTTTTGAGGATCCAGCGATTGACCAGTGAAAAAAGCGGTTCCGAAGGTTCTCCAGAATGGAAAACCCAATTGAAAAAAAGGTTTTTATGAAGTTGAAAAGCCATTTTTGTGTGAATTTAATCAGAAATTGCAATGGAGAGTTTCATGATGTTTTGGAAATCGGCTAAAAAAGTCCTTGACATAGCACGTTTTGATTCTGATGATTTCAAGCTGCAAAACTTTCTTTTTTTTTCGAGAAAGATTTTCTTTAAGTCAAGAAAACCTATAAAATTTTGTTGGAATAGGCTATTTTGAGCCTATTCACAATAACTAGAAGTTTTTGCGAGCTAAGATATTCAGGATCTTCCTCTGGTACATCAAAGAATTTCATGAAACCAAAAAACCTTTCCGGCCAGGTATTTTTCTGACTGACTGAATTGCGAGCGAAACTCACTATTTCCAAATGTCCGTTCGATAATTCCAACGCGTCGAGGACATTCAGCGCGTCCTGGACAGTTTCGCACAGTTCTCGGGAAACTCGGGCTAGCCCGTAGGTACTCGAGGCGTCCGTCGGACTTCCGCCGGTCGGAAAAAGTTCGCCGATCACCTCCAAAGATTTGGCCGAGAGCTCATCGGTGAAAAATGAGCCGATCTGGATAAAAATAAACCCTATACCCAAAGCAGAAAAAACAAACTTCTAATAAAATTAGACAAACCGGAGAGGAAATCATTAGAATCAATCAGATTTTGAATGTCAAGCAGCTAACTCCACCCCCAAGGCTACAATATCTTTCGCGTCAATATTTTATCTACAGATGACGATGGCCCTTTAATAAGGCTGCATTTTTTGACTTCTTTTTCTATCTTTTAGATCAAAAAAGATCAAAATTAGTCCCGCGCGAAAAAAACATCGACGCGAAAAGGTACCGTCTCAGCAGGAGCGGAGTTAGCTGGTTGACATTCAAAATCTGAACATACTATATTTCGAAAAAGAGATGCAAAGGGCAAAAAGCTATGACACTCAAGTTTGCTCTGAAAGATTTAAAAATGTTTGAAAATTAACTTTGGCTACCACAGCAGGTTTGCCATGAATAAAAAACATTTCAAAAATAGAATAAAAAATTAATTGGAAGTTAAAAGTTTTATACATCTCTCATGTTGGTGGGGTTGACCCGCCGTGCAAATGCGGAACGACGGCGGATGAAAGAAGCAAAAAGAGCAACGGCGCGGCAAAAACGGGCGAACGGCGGGGGGTAAAAGAGCCTGCGGGGCTTGAAGCGTTGATGCGTATTAGCCCCGCCGTTAACCCGCTGTCAAGGAGTGCGCACAGTTTGCAGAATGACCACCGCAAAAAAGGCATAAATGAAACATTTAAAAATTTATCTTTTTGAAAAAAATATCCTTAAAGAAGTTGAAGGATTCCTTGGTTCCATATATATGACTGAGTTCTTTGTTTAATTTGATATTTTTGAGGATCGAAATGAGCAAGCTGGGTGCGTTGCCGAATCGAAGGAAATAAAATTTTTGATCTTTTTGATCTAGAAGATAGAAAAAGAAGTCAAAAATGCAGCCTTATTAAAGGTTCATCGTCATCTGGATATAAAAACATTGACGCGAAGGATATTGTAGCCTTGGGGGTGGAGTTAGCTGCTTGACATTTAAAAATCTGAACAGACTATATAATTACACTGAGTATCAAACGTTAATAACTTGTTTTTCGATCGCCTTGGGCTGTGTACTGTAGATTTCAAATTTCGCGCCAAATGACGTCTCCCCACCGCGTTTGGGAACACCGTGTTCTCTATAGAACGAAAGGAGTATGGTAAAGTGTTCAAAAAAGTCTTCATCATGCAGTGATACATTTTTTTAAAGATACTCTGCCTTCTGAAGGAGGGGAAGTCACAGAAAGAAGTGCATCGGCTGATGCTGAAGAGGAGGACGGCAGTCCAGAGGAGAGAGATGGGATCTCCGAAGAAAAATTGGAAAAACTTGAGGAAAAAGAAGAAGATTTCAATGGATGGCGAACTTGGTTCTGCGATGAAGAACGAAGTAGTAAGTCGATGTTTTTATTTGAAATTTTAGTGCACATTATTTTTAAGCGCCGGCAATTATAATAACAGTTTAGCAAGACCCCTGCTTTTTATCCCATTGAACGTTAAAATTGACGACTATCTTCTATATATTTAAGTGATGCGAATGTAGCGTCAGCAATATCGTCTTCCGGGCGCCCGGACTTAGGGCCTCATTTTTGAGAAAAAGGTTTGCGCAGGCTTCGAAAAATTTTCCCAAATTTCACTGTTAAATGTTGTTAAATTATAGTTTCTGTTGAACTGTGAGTGAATGAACAAGCATAAATTTGACTTCTGTTTTAGCTTGATATTCGATTTGAAGAAAATTTGAGCCCGTTCTTTTTATTTGAGGCCTCTCTAAGGCCAAACGAGGTCTTAGATAATGGCCAAGGGCCGATAGGCTCACGTGCCGGTTCCCGTATAGCCCTGATGATGACTACACGGTCTCATTGAAAAATCGATTTCGGGAATTTTTCACGCAACGGTAGCCCCTTTCCTTTCGTCGCAGTAGTATTCACCATCTTGTAGTTTGATTATAGATCATGAAAACAAATGAAAAACTCAGAAAAAGCGAGGTGAGATAGAAATAGTTCGGATTTCCGCGATATGCGTAAAACCAAGTGCGCCCTATTGCGAAGTGTTCACATATAATGGGTGATAATTACCGGCGCTATTATTTCTTAGACAAAAAAATCAAATTGAAATCGGTGCGTCGGTGATTTTGAAGTACTCTCTTCGAAAAAGTTCTAAAGAGGCAATAAAGAGATTGGTCGAAATCTGTCGACGAGCAGGAAGTTCACAAGTGGTGAAAAACAGTCTAAATTATTTCACTTATCGATTTTTCTAAAGATTGATGAATGTTTCGAGTTAGCTGAAAATGCTGTTAAGAAGTTTGATCCAAAAAAACATACGTTTTTGCTCTAAATGTCTCAGGCTGGTGGATGGAGTGGGAGCGTGTCGAAATCCGGATTGTGAAACACAGTTAGTTCTGTTTTTCTTCCAAAGTGGAAAGTCTTAAAATAAATATTTAGAGGACAAGTCAAGGACGTGAATGGCCTGGATAGGCTTAAAAATACGCTGTTATCACATAAGAGTCAAAATTGAGCTAGTTTTTGAAAGAAAAACTTAGATTCAATAGTTGCCCATCATCAAAATGTTCATGCGGAGAAGGTTAAAAAAGGATTAAAATGACTCAAAGTTATTTTTACAGCGTGACGATTCAATTTCACGGCTATGGAAGATCTTAGATGGAGTCAACAGTACGCCAACTCTTTGGAAACGAAAGACGAATTTTCCCAAGGGACGCTGAAACTCCAACTGAGTTTTTCCGACGGCTTCACGCCCGCGAGACGCTGCAAGTGAGTAGGAAAATTGATAAAAATCATACTTTCATCCCAAAAATTTGCAACCTTGAACTGTTTCAGGACTTTTCGTTGAAAAATCTCATTTTTTCGAATGTGGTTGTCAAATGAATTTCAAAAAGAGGCATGCAAAAATAGGGTTTTGTTTTTGTTTGTTAAAAAAATTTAATTATCAAGGTTAAAAGATAATTGCAGTCCTGAAAAGAACATAAACTTTCCTTTTATTAAAAAAAGAACCCTATCTAAAGACCGTAATACGAAAAAATCGGAAAATTCGTCGTTCGAAATTTCGCCGATTTTTATTTCATACGAGCGTAAAACAGGTCGAAAGTGATGTATGAGAGTTCAGAAACATTTTTGAAGAAAAATTCGTAGTGAAACGATGAAATAGAAAGGAGGTTCAAATATTTTTAGCACGGAATGTACCCTGTGTATATGCGAGTCGAGTGTCTTCCTAAAAGAAGAAAAAGCGGACCACCGATACATGATTTTTGGCGGCAATAGCCACATCAAAGGAAAGCTATGAGCCTAAACGCTTACGATTTGATGTTTGGGAGGTTTAGTTTAGAAAGAAGCGTAAATCGTTGAAGAAAAATAGCATACAGATTGATAAACGAGATCAGAACACTCTGCAAGCTGATTTTCCGTTCTACCAAAACAATAAGAAGTGGATAATTAAAATAAATTGGATTATCATGTCAGCGGATTTGAAAGTAAAAATTTTCAAAAAGTTTGAAATTGTAATTCAGGCCGCACGTACTCTATTCAATGGAGTCCCTAACTGGCAAACTGAGAAAAGGATATCCCTGTGCCCGGGCACATACAGGACTCTTCCTCGATTTTTTGAGAGCTTTTTCTCAGAAGCCTATGTGGTTTAGCAGATAATCTCTCAGTTTTTGATAGTTCTTACTCAAACCTATAAGCCACCATAGTTTCAACGATATGCGTACTCGAGCCCGAGAAGTTCCGTAGTCAGATCTTCATAGTTGGAAAATCACCAAAGTTTGCTCGCCCTGCAAGTTCGAAAACATACAGTACCGCTCAAAAGTATATTAAGTTTTTGTTGTTTGAGGGATATCTCAGCGAGTACTTATCCGATTTATATATAACTTTCAGGGATTATGTAAAATATACTTTAAAACATATACGGTATACACATACATGTCCGCTGATCACTGCGACGCGTTTTAGGAATGATTTCCAATGTATGCTTTTATTTTATTTATATTAAATGTTTTAAAAGTAATAATGTTGCCATACGTCATGTTTTTCAGACATGAGGAAGAACCTCTGGGAAAAAAGATTTGACTGATAACGACAAAGAGCCATCGTTGTGGGTCGTCAAAATGGACTGACCATGATGACGTTGGCAGGAATGTTCGGCGTGACAGAGGCTTGCATTTCTCAGTTCCTGAAGCGTCAGAAAGCTCAAGATGGCACTGGTAGAGCCAACGCACTGAAAAGACCACGTGTCATTGATCGTAATGGTGATAGAAACATTTTGAAGACGTCTAGAACCAATCAAGACTCACCGCCCTGCGATCAGACGGGAAGTTTTCTCGAATTCGCCATCTCCGCCATCCGTCTCGACCGTGAAACGACGATGCTGCTGGAATCATGGGAAGACGTGCAGTGAAAAACCGCTGATTTCTGAAAGAATCGAGTCACCAGGGTGAAGTGGGCGAAGGAGCATCTCAACTGGACCCGTCAAGACTGGAACAAGATTCCGTGGTCCGACGAAAGCAAGTTCCTCCTCTTCGGAAGTGACGGAATTCAGTGAGTTCGTAGACCAATTGGGTCCAGATATCATCGAAATACCAATTACCCTTTGTGAAACATGGTGGAGGACCGTTTCGTCGGACGACAGAATCTTGTTCCAGTCTTGACGAGGTCCAGTTGAGATGCTCCTTCGCCCACTTCACCCTGGTGACTCGATTCTTTTCGCCAAAATCGCGGTTTTCACTGCGTCTTCCCACGATTCAGCGGCATTGCAGATCGTTTCACGGTCGAGACGGATGGCGGAAGATGGCGAATTGCGAGAAAACTTCCGTCTGATCGCAGGCGGTCAGTCTTGGATTGTCTAGACGTCTTCAAACGTTTTACCACCATCTACGGCTCAATGACACGTGGTCTTTTCAGTGCGTTGGCTCCACCAGTGCCATCTTGAGCTCTCTGACGTTTCAGGAAACTGAGAAATGCACGCCTCTGTCGCCGAGCATCTCTGCCAACGTCATCATCGGTCAGTCCATCGACGACCACAACGCTGCTTTTCGTCGTTATCAGTCAAATCTCCCAGAGGTTCATGTCATGGCTGAAAACATGCACAAAACATATGGCAGCACTAAAACGACTATAAACATTTAAATAAAATAAAGCATATGTTACGTGATTGAATTCATTCCTAAAACGCGTCGCAGTGACTGCGGACATGTATACCGTATATGTTTTAAAGTATATTTTACATAATCTGAAAGTTATATATAAATCGGATAAGTACTCGCTGAGATATCCTCAAAAACCAAAACTTAATTATACTTTTTGAGCGGTACTGTATGTGAAAAGAAAAGCTGATCGCTATCGAAAGCTAGTACGGGCGAGCGCAGGCGATGGTCGCGTCGACAATGCGACGCGAGTTCCTTTCTAACGCAACGCGGTGCGGCAGCGTGTCAACTCCTCAAACATTTCCATTCACCCTAAATAAAGCTCTTTGCGTAGTCATTTTTAGATGAAATATGTTTGTACTTCCTGGTGTGTGTAATATAACGAGTGATGCGTTTGAGAGGTACTTGCTAATTTTGATCTCAGATGGTCCAGAAATTTCGACAAAAAGGACATTTTGAAGAGTAACTCTGCAGAAGCTACTGTTCATGTTTTCGAAATGCCCAGTATGAGTTTCTCTAACATAAAACGCCCAGACATCAAAATCTCAGACGTTTTTACAAAACACATATGCTGTCTAAAATGACTTTTGAGTTATACTTTTCTTTTAGGCCGAAACCAATTGATTCTCGTGTCGAGAATATTCATCGCATGCGTGAGGGAACCGGCACGCAGTTTTCTCCCTTTAAAAATTTTTAGGACTCTCACGCGACGAATTGTCCTGAAAAAGCGCATTTCGTGTGATAAATCTTTGGAAAAAGCGATTCCGTTCATATCTCCATTCTCAATAGGTTCATGGTCAGCGCTGGACTATATTATTATGACATATAAAAATAGAAGGAGGAACTTTGAAAAGCCATCATATTTAACGCCATGTTTTCATCCAGTAAATGCACAGAAAATCGGCCCTCAATGTCGCGCCACTATTGCAATAACCCGCGCCTCTCTATCATTGCAAACGGCACTACGCCCAACGCCCACGTCCGCAGCCTCCGTTTGGGAACACGTGAATCACCATGAAAAACCGTTTTCAAAAACATAAACAAAACGTTTTCTAGAGATTTCTCTAGAGCGAAACTGATCAGATTCTTTTCAGCCTTTTGAAAAACGACTATTCAAACTTTAAATCATGACCTTTCTTTATGCAATTATTTCAGAAAGCTTTTAAATTTCCGAAAGCTTCTGTTTTCGCTGCGGATTTCTTCACATTTCTACATGAAAAAGGCTACAACGTGAGAATCATGCGAGATCACCATTCCTTCCAAACAAACTCCCAGAAAATCTCATAAGTTCTTTATCGAATCGAACACTGGTTAGAATTGTCACACACTAGCTGAGAAAACGCAGACCAGGGCTGCAAAAATGAGCAAGAACTGGGCACAGAAAATATATGGCAGAGACGTTCAGGAGGAGATGTGAAGGATTTGTTAGGGCACAGGGGGACATCAGGCACAGTGGAGATGTCTCTTTGGGAGAAAATGAACGATAATCTGTCTCGAAAAGATATTTAATGCGTAAGAAGGCATTTCTCAATCAGAAACTCACAGCAGAGACTAATACATAGAGCGGATTTGTACAAGAAAATCTGGGTTAAACCATAGAAATAAAGCGGAAATGATCAGAAGAACTCGTCGTTTTGGCTTCTCGCCAACTGGAGCCGCCAACAGCTCCGACTCTTCTACCAGACCCGTGAGGATCTGCAAAAATGTTATTAAAGGGACATAGCTGCACTGAGAAACAGTTCTCGAGAGTTATCAAATTTCCATCACCTTTTAATCGACCTATTGAATCAGCAAAACACAAGCTCCAAAACTGCATCACATTTTTAATGGTCCTCGAGACGAGATAGAGAACTTATGCGCCTTTAATAATAAAATTTCAAGGCGAGCAGAGAGTCTGAAAATTTCAATTTATAAGCGCCATTCTGCATCATTCAAAACCCAGCTACTCTCTCAAATAGTCTCAAAACGAGAGATCCTCTGCAGCCTTTTAAAGAAGCGCCAAAATCGAAGCATTGGTTATCGATTGATTATAACAAAAACATGGTCGAATTGCGCCATAAAACGAAGCTCAAACAGCCATCTCAACATCGATCATCTCAGTGCGCCTTTAATAAGCAGTTTCTAAGTTCTTATGGATGGATCATGAGCCAATAAAGCCAAAGCTCACAACTAACTTGAACTGTATTTCTCAGTCCTCGTGCTCATTTCGAAAAGTTCGAACCATATGCGATTTCGACATGATTATTCACTCTACAGCTCCTTTAATAAGTCAGGTCTAAGCTGCTTAAAGCTTATTTTTCCCTTATAGTTCCAAGGTCGTAAATTCCTGAACTGTACTCTAGACCATTTCCACAGAGTTTCTTCACCATATTTCTCCAAGAATCCAGTGAAAGTGTATTTTCTCCTTTGGGTCTAGTAAGCTCGTAAAGGTTCCTTTCAGATCTTTGAGAAAACGACGCTATTCCAAGCTCGAAACTCACCAAATTGTCCATATACTCCCTGCATGTCCTTCATCCGGAATCCTTGACCTGCAGCTCCAGCTTGAGGTTGTCGATGACCGCCAGAAGGTCCTGACCGTTCGAGGCGTCGAGCTGCTTCTGCTGGAACTGAATTTCGAAGTAGTCGAAGAGATTTCAGAAGGAACCTGATGTTTGGAGGATTCGAATCCGGAAGAGCGATGCTTCTGATGCTTCCGTGCCTCTGTTGTAAAGATCCAGCGCAGTGAAGCCCAGAGTCGGAAAAATAAATATTATTCTCAGTGGCTAATAATTACCGGATGGAGAATGATCCCAGCGGCGGCTAGAGCGAGCCGAAGGGCAGGCGGAAGAAATGGACACTGACTTCCTTTCCTGGGGAGCGTAGCCACGACTGGGCGACCTGGCCGGACACTCGTCGAACGGATTGTACCTGCGTGAAAATACTCTGTATAACTGCCGAGGTGATAAAGCGATGTCGCCGGGCGGCATTCAGCGAAAGCGACAGGCTTATGGCTCGATCTTCGAGTTTTGAAGTTTTGAGGTGAGGATAAACGCGATGTCGCAATAGGAAATCTCCAGATACCGCTAGCGATATCGCTTTTCTCTCTCGCACCGAAAAAGCAGCTATCTTGCAGAGCAGAGCCGAAAAATAAAGTTCTGTAACCTATGATTATCGGATCGTGTTCCTCCGTGATTGGCGACTCTAGATGAGCCGTTGAGACAAGACTGCACATGGCATTGGAGCTGCCGGTCCGGTCAAGATGGGGCGAAGAGTCCTGGGGCGAAGAGGAACGTCCCCGGGTGGCAGGCTGTGGATCTGGCACACTTTGGAGTGGAGGCAAATCTGAAGGCAAATAAAATGCGAAAACTGATATTCTGGAGCTTGAAAATCAATACATCCGAAAAAGTCCCATATTTGACCTGAGCATTTTTCTCTTATTTATTAGAGTTACCCAGCCAAATCCCCTTTAATCCTCATTTTTCAATCTTTGCGATATACGCAAAGAGACTCGCCGTTTATATTTTCTCGTTTTCAAAACTAAAACTTTACACGATATCGCAAAAACTCGCGCGGCTCATGTATCTAGCCTAATCTCTACTAACCATGGTTTTACCCTTCACACGGCTATTTTCAGAGCCCAAAACTTCACGCGATGTACCGCACCTGCCCGTAATAAATTTCTTCTGGCACTAGCTCCTATGACTTTCGAGAAGTTTTACCCTTTCCGCGCAGCTATTTTTAGAGCGCAAAGCTGTGCGATATTCTACCCACTCGCACCTGAAAGTACTGAGTTCAATCTCCCAATAATCTAAAAGTTCGTTCTTCCCTTCACACGGCGTATCGTCAGAGCTCCACTTTTACACAATGATACCGCACTCGCACGTAATAACTTTCTGGCCCAGATCTCCTACGAACCTATGGTAATTTTCGACCAAGTCTATGATGTGAATGTATGTGAGATGTACAGATGAATTATCAAATAAGCCAGATAAAATAGAACAGTTCAGCGGTTGGGTGGACCTACACCATATCTACAATATGGTTGGCTGCCGTCACACGACTCATTGATCAGAGCTCAAACTCGCGCGCGATATCACCCACCCGCACCCCATTGCGTGGATCCCGAAACGCAAAGCGGCTGATCCTTGTCAGAAGAACCGGTTGCTCTTAAGTGATGCTCTTGACTCACGTGGCGCTGATGCGCTGGCCATTACGGCATGGTATCGGCGTGCCTTGTGTTCTGCCACTCTGCTCTCTCTGAGTGTTGCTCAGGACGCCGCCTCCTTCTCCACCTAGTTCAGCGACATGCTGCAGACGGCAGAGCGGCTCATTTTCGGGAAGCTGAACTTGAAGCACAGCTGCCTCGCTCACTCTAGCAACATTCACGCGAATCTCAGATCAGAGAGGGCTCTCCGCAGAGATAGGTGGGGAAGAGTAAGGAACTAACCGTTTCGGCTTCCATACCCATTCAGCACTGGAAATTTCTGCGGAACTGCCATTATTTCAAAGACTCTGAGAAACGATTTTGAATTCAATGACAAGAGAGTCGTAAATGTTCAGCCAACAGAAACTTTTTCGAGCACATGGAAGCATCCACCATCATGAGGAAGAAGCCATGGGCAGAGTCGGGCGCAGATATGTGGTTAATGAAACCCCATTTTCCAGCTCAGAAATGCACTGAACTTCAAATCACCGTGGAAAATCGATCGTTCGGGATCATCCATCAGGGCAGACCTTCTCTGAGCATGTCACCTCTCTTCTCTCTCAGCTTGAGTCATAGAACATTAAAACCAGCCAGAGAGAGAGCGCAGAGGAAACTCAGAAAAGCTCTTCTGCAAAAGCCCAGTAACTGTTTCAAACCAGTTGATTTTTAGAAAATCTCGGTAAGGGAGCACAAATTTTGAAACTCGAAGATTAATCCATGGAGACGCGCTAGGTTTCGCCCTGGACGGCTGATTTTCCTCTTCTTTTTGCTATTTCGCGTGGAAGACATACTCTACAAAAATGTCCATCTATAGTTGATCTTTCAACGAGTCCGGAGACGCTTCAGATCATTTTGAGGCCTCACTTGCCATCCATTTGATCGATTAAAATTGCAAATTCAAATTGATTCAAAGTTAAAATGGAGAAAATTTTCGTGGCTGATCTCACAGTTGATCCATGGAGCACTACCGCGGTTTAATTTGGTCATCCTCGTTTTTGGAAAATATATATGAAAGGTTATCATTATAAATTTTGAGTAATTCACATCTCTACTTGTTTTCCACACGTCACAGACTTGTCAAAAATAAATAAATAAAAACCTGTATTTCGCCAGTCTCATCTGCTCTCTTTTCCAACGGGAACCAGGTGCTACTGCATTGCCTAGTAGCATCATGAAGGCTCAGCATCATGTCTGCGAGTCAAATCTGAATTTTCATAAATCTGATGGTTTCGAAATTTGAGGCTGAAGAAACTCATAAAATTCTGGTTCCATAACTTGTATACATTTATGTTACTCTAAAGAAAAATTTATTGGCAATTTTGAGTAAATCGTCAGATCTAACGCGAAATTCGTATACCAAAATTTAGTCGCAAAACATTAGACTCGAGACGAATTCTTTTCCATGATCAACTGAATACGATCTGCAGTGTCTGATACCATTACTAAAATTACACTCTGGGCAAGACTTGATTTTCGGCTCGGCCTAGTCCATCATTATTATTGTTTTAGGCAGGGTCTCCAAATGACAGAAATTTCAAATTTCCCTCGAATTAGTAGTACAAGAGCTTCACTTTTCAAATAGTTTTTAGTAAAAAGTATAGAAATGAATTTTTCTTGTTTACTGACTTCCAAAAATCAAAAAGCTACAAAAGATAACGTTATATCCGACCATTTACTTCAAAATAGATAATTTTTGAAAAACTGTTTAGTATTTAAATTTGATTCAAAGACACTTATACATTTCCCAGCTCATTTAAAAATTATTAATTCAAATTTTACGTGACCTTTCTGCCAAAGTTTAATGAAAAATCACACAATTGTCTCCTAGACTCAATTTTGGCCTAAAAACTCTACTCTGGAGCTGATGCCCTTTGTGTTGCTGAGACGCAAACCGTCGTCCATTTCTATTCAATTTGTTGAAATTCCATTTTTCCATGAAATTGTTGTGAAAAGCTCACAATTCACAAGTTTCGTCCCGCCAAAACAGATCGCCATGTATGTACAAACTCTGTTGACGGCACGACTTCGCAAGAGCTCTTTTCTGAAAAGGCAAATATCTGGACATGAGAGGAAATCTAAAGAGCCTGCATTTAAACAGGATTGAAAAACTATCTCAGAGCAAGATAGAGGTCTATAGGGGTACTAAAGCTTGCAAAAGTGGTCCCAGGGAGTTTTAGTTAGTGGCCGCGGTGGGAGCATGCTAGGGGTCCCAAACGTAGTTTTGATCAATAGGAAGGGAAAAACTAAAGACCACTATAGACCACTCAAGATCTGCCCTAACCCCTCTAGTGACACTAAGAGGCCGCTCCCAAGATACAAAAAGGTTTGAGATCGATAATTTCTTTTCTTTGAAACGATGTCTAAAGCGACGGTCTGTCCTTTCTACTCTCAACTCACTCTTTGATTGATAACCTGCTTTTCTTTATAAGCAGTAAAAAATTTTAATTGGAGCATCTTTTCCGAAATATCTTGTTACTTTCCCCTATCTCAAAAAGGAAGAAATTTTCATTATGATTGTCATCTGGTTTCGTTACAAAACTCTAACGACACTTAATTACAGTTTTTCTCCGATTTTTCATTTAGGGTTTGCAAGAAAAATCAGAAAAACGCAAAACTTTCGATAGTTCTTTCATTGGGCATCGTTCGAAATGAAAATCTTTGAAAAATCAAAATTCAAAACAAACCTGCAAAGCAAACGTGCATACAGCTTCTGTTTCAGTTTTATTCTTCAAATAGAGCCCTCTCAGCGGATCCGACTGAAAAATTCAGAAGAGATTTGAGAACTCCAGGACAGTAATAGCTACTTGCAGGATTTTAGATCAATTTTATTTTGCATCAAAAATCTTTTTAAAACCGAAAAATCGAATAATAAAAGCTGAGATTTGCATTTATTCTTCAATTTCTGCACATTAGTTTTTCATGATTCAAAAATCAACTATAATATACTATAACTCTACTTTTGCAACTATTTTGCTCAGAAATTTTTTCGAGGCTGAATTCAGCTATTAAAATACTACATGACTCCTCGTCATAGATATTTTTGCTCAAAAACATTTTCACTACTTAAAACGAACCTGAACTAGTAGCGTATGTTGGCTCCATAGAAAAATAATCTGAAATTCCTGAAGAAATGTTGCCTGATGCAAAAATTACGAGAAAAGTAGCAGTGGTTAAAACCAAAACGAAAAGACTGTCAATGAGCTGTTAGAAAACATGTCATGTTTTCTCTCAAGAAACAACAAAGCAAAACTCGCCAACAGAACAGTTCAACAACGCAACGAGGTGTATGAAAAGGGAGAAAGGTTGGGGAAATCGAGGAAGAAATATGAGTGATGACGACCTTTTTATATCCTACAAAAGAAAGATGAGCGCAGGAACGAGACGCAACAGAGAGACCTACGGTGAGAAAGTCAGGTTAGCCAACAGCGCGAGGAAGGAGGAGTTTGAGAATGTGGATCGATATATCAAAACGCAGATGCTCTCAGGTTTTGCAGCAGGTCGAAATTAGAGACGAAAAAGGATCATTATTCCATACTCATAGTCGCAAAGAGACAATTTCTCGATTTTGGAGTAGGAGTTTCAGTTTTCTCATTTTCTTTTTCTTTCTTTTCAGCGAGTAAATTGAGATATACTTGGACAAAATCCTTTATTTTCGATTTTGCATAGCCAAAAGATAACCATTTCTCAACATTCTATCGAGAAAAAGTTGAATGACCAGCCCAAAATTGTCTCTTCATACCATTTTCTTCTTCAATCTTCTCTATAGTACTAAAAATCTCTAATCGTATGCTGAAAGCGAGTAAAAGTCAAAACAACTCACAGCCTGTCAAATAGCCTGTGCGCCCACTGTAAGCGTATAAGCAATGTACGCTTCCAAGGCTACCGTAAAGCTTCAAGGCTACCGTAAGCTTCAAAGGCTACCGTAAAGCTTTAAGGCTATCTTAAGCTTCAAAATCAATCTTGCAAGAGCAAGAAAACCAATGCTGAAATAAACTAGTTGCAAGGCTGCTGTAAGATTCAGGCTGTGATGACAAATGATGAGCTGTAAAAGAATGATCTATTTTCATATATTCATCTCAGATTCTCTGCGCCTCTTCACTCACCTTTTGGCTGTCGGTGAGAGAAGAGAGCTGGACATAGTGACATACTGGTCAAAATAGAAATAAATAGAAGCGTGAAGAGTCAGCTTGCTACAAAAAGAGAACATGAAAGAGGTCTAAATCAGAAGCTGAAAAATCAGAAGGTGGAAATGGAAAGCGATCAAAACTCAGAGATCATCGCAGGTCTCTGATCACATACTGTCCTCGTCGTCGATCAGAACGTCGCACGATCATTCTTCCGTTGTTCCTCACTTTCGGCCTCATTTATCACTCACCGGATAACTTACACATCGAGTTTCCTGCTCTTTTGTCCACCTGAACACCGGAAAATCTTCAAGGAGGTGCAAAAATTCAGAAAAACGAGCTAAAGATTCACCTAGAAAACGCAGGCTCATTCTATCCTAACTTGCAGAAATTTCCAGAAAAAGATTTGCAATGGTGTTCTTTTCACTCGAAAACCATACAGTGCGTGATACCTGACCGGTTTCTTGATTTAAAATTGAAGATTTCAGTTTATCCTGAAAAGTTTCGATCATCCTAAAACTTGACTTAAAAAGTCATATTACTTCATGGACAAATCCCTACGGAGTTTTCTTGCAGAAAACACCTTCAAACTTTTCGAGATTTTCGATAACTGTGAAAACTCTAAAATCTGTTGGGAAAGAAAAGGACAAGAAAATGGGTAGAGAGAGAGGAATCTCATGTAGACACGGATCTGCTATTTCTTCTTATAAATATAGACTTCTTTTGCGAAAACTGAACGAAGAAATTAAAATCTTCCATGAGAAACCCTCAAAAGCATTTTTCATGGCTTTCTAGATTGACGTTTTCGAAAGTACCCATGATAGCTGTTTGAAAGAAAACAGAAAAGAAGAAGAAAGAACAGAGCATGAACACTGAGCATCTGGAATCACATCGATAGTGCCACATTTCCTGTATTGCCTGAACAGATAGACGAGCATGCAAATGAGCAAGAAGAGAGAGAGGAGGAATTGGCTCACCCACACCACCTGCTCCTTGTGTGTTCTTAGGCCAACAGCCATAGGCCAGCACATTTGCCGATCGTTTAGCAAATGATAATCCAGATAGAAACGGCTGTCAACTAAATAGGGTGTCAACGACTCAATAAAATCGGAAAAATTGTGAAAAAGCGCAAGTTTCGCTCAATATGGAACTGTTGCGTCAAAAAGATACATATGATTTGACGAAAATTTTGATCCGCAAAAATACGTGAGCGTGTCCACACAGCCTAGTGACACTAAAATCGTAAACCTTCAAGAAAACTCCTTTAAGATTTGAAATTGCTTTGCACCCAAGGTTTCCACTTTCTATAATATCTATTTTTCTTTTGTTCTATCTCTCAAATCAACCTTCAAAACAGTATGAAACAGGGACATATTTTCAATGTTTGAAGATTAATTTTCAAAATTTTCAGCAAAATTTCATCTGTAAAAATCAATCAGTTTCATTTTCTAACAGAAGAGATCCATCGAGATTTCAATTTAGTTTTACAGTTTTGTAGAAAAAGTTGTATGATGCCTGCTAAACTCACTGAGATTCTGAATAAACGAAGAAAAAGGCCTACAAGTTTATTATAGAAAATCACTGAGCAATTTTAAGCCCTACTTAACCGAGCCATAAATGATTTTTCATCAATCGGGACAAAATCTCTAAACGATTTCTGCAAGCAAAGTTATAACGCAACCACAGAGTTACGTGGGAATCTTTTTGAGAAACACTATCGTTAACCCTTTAGCATTCCCCTTTTCTGGACTCTTCGACAAGATCTCGACATTTCTGAACAGAAGTTACAGTACTGGCCATAAAAAGGTATTTCAAAGTGGTTATTCGAGCATAACTTCTCTGAAAGTGGCTCAAATGACTTGAAACTTTGCGAAAAATTTCAAATAGCTACGCAGTAACTTTTTCCCAAAAAAAGAACTTATTTGCTCGAGTCAGACCGGATTTGGGAGCAAAAAACCAAAAATCGTGAAAATCAAGATTTTTCTCTTGAGATTCGAAAAATCATATCTTCAAAGAAACTTCGTTTTCGAACCAGAAACTTTTTTC